GCGGCCGGCTCAGACTCACGGGGACCTGTGGGGAGGGTTCACTCCAAAAAGATGGGACACATCGCGGGACATTCTGCCCGAGAGAGGGACAGTGCTGGCCGATGTCGTGAGTCAGTGACAGGGGCCAGGGGAGGGCCAGCCCAGGGCACTGGGCGGAGCTGGTGCGAGGTGCGGGGCCAGAGAAGAGCCTGCAGCCCCTACAAACCCTCTGGCTCCCAAGGACTCCGCCTGCATCCTGTGGAAAGCCCATTCCCCATAACCCCGTTTTCAGAGAAGAGCCCCCGAGAGGCCGCCGGCACCGGCTGGGTGGTGCCGCCCCTTCCTCCTGAGGCAGGCCTGCCAGCAGAGCGTGGGCCCCATTTCTCCCTCAGGAACACCTGCTGTCTCCTGTGTTTTGGTCAGTGGCGTCCCTGTGGGTGTGCATGGTCTGTGTTTCCTCAATAAGACTTTTAATCCCTGATTGAAGAGTGGCAGCCCTCCCGGCCTGCTCTTCTCTGCTTTCACCCTCTTATCTGAGGCCAGCTGCCCACCTCTGCCCACAGCCTCCGCCCATAAGAGCCACCCTGGGGCAGAACCTCCTGGAAGCCGGCCGGCGCTCACCATCCGAGGCAGATTAGCCACGGGAAGTCCACCCAGATCCACAGCCAGGAATGCCCGTCCTCACAGCAGCTTGCAGCTCTGAGGGGTGGGGGGCTCACTCGCCTCTGCTGCTCGGCCCCGGGAACAGGCCTGGCTTTTGCGGCGAGGCAGCCAGACTCACCAAATGAGTGACCTCCCCAACAGGCCGTGCTGAGTGGTCAGGCCCTGAGGCTGCCACTCTCGGGGGCTGGCTCGGCCACACACGTGACCCCTGGCTGATGGCAAGATGACCACCCTGGCCCTGGCCCTGCCCTGCCCTGTCCTGGGCAGAGGAAGTGAACACCCCCGGGACGGTCTGGCCCAGCTGCCCTTCCCCCAGTTACCAGTTGCCGGCTGTGGTAGGGACCCATGCGTCTCGGGGGCGGTTCTGTTTGCACTTTACACGCTAGAGCAGCCGCGATGAAAGGTGAGGTCTTATATCTGGTGTCCAGGGTCCCAGGGCTCCTGTCTGCTCACTCTCCTCGCTGCCTGGAGACTGACACAAGCCTATGTAGGGAATGAATGAATGTGTGAATGAATGAGGTGCGGCCACTTGCAGCAGAATGGGGCTGGGGTCAAATCTGAGAACACCACCCCCTCATGGCCTGGACCACCAGGACGGGCCCCGCAGACCCTGGGGCTGAGAGTCCAGCTCGGGTGGAGCTGGGTGAGCCCTGGGCACAGAGCAGAGCAAGGAGCTGGACAGCAGGCCCGGGCCAGTCTACAGGCCCCGGGAGCCAGGCTGGGTCTGGACCTGGAACAGTGCCTACTGCTGTCCCGGGGGCCTGAGGGTCCCGACGAGGTCCCGGCCCCTCCTCCTCCAGCCCTGGCCCCGCAGGAGCCCCTCTCATGACAGGGGTCCCCTGTGACCCCTTGTGCCCTTCCCCAGGCTCAGCAGAGTCTAGGGCCAGGCCTGAGGACGTGGGTCCAGCAGGAGCAGCCCGGCCTTGGGTCTGACCTGGCTGAACGAGGGTTCAAGAATGGGAGGCGGGCACTGATGGGTTGAGGGGTGGTGGGGGGCGTTGCCAGGTTCACTCCCAGCTCCTGGAGCTCCAAACAGCGGGACCGCTCAGCCTGGGTGGCCAAGGGTGCAGGCAGGCTCCGGCCGGCTGGAGGCCCTCCTCCGGGTGAGCGCTGCCACCTAGTGGCATCCTGGACACGGCGGCTCTGGGGTCCAGGACGGGTGAGAGGAGGTGTCCGTCCCTGGGGGGCACAGCGGCCTGGCACAATGGGGGTCAGAATCTCCCCGCCACCTTCCCTCGAGCCCACCCTGCCCCTGCCCATGGCGTCTGTCCACACCGTGTCCCGTCGCACCACTGACCGCGGCCCCTCCAACCCCTCCCTGGCTGTTGCACACACCCCTGGGTCCCCTTTGGGTGCTCAGAGGGGTCTGCAATGTGCCCCCACAGGACAGAACCCTCCGCGGAACATGGGGTCACAGCAGGCCGGGGCAGCACATTTGTGGCGCACCTGCCCTTGTCGATTGGGGGGCATCGAATAGCCTCATAACCTCGTCAGACATCTGGGAATGCCGAGGTCACCAGGAGAGGTCGTCCAGGGCCAGATGAAGGGGCAGGAGATGGGAGGGGGGAGCCAGATTTCAGGATGGGATGGAAACAGAGGGTCCACGTGGCGGGCAGGCAGTGGGTGAGCTGGGGGACAGCAGGCACTCCTGTCCGTGCCCCTCGGCCAGCACCCCCAGGAGGGAGAGCTCGGCCCCCCAGGGGCCTGCAGTGGCCTCTCCTCTGAGCCCAGAGCCCTTGGGCCCTCTGCTTCCCACTGTTCCACAGCATCTAAGCGCGCTCCTGCCTCAAGCCTTTGCCCCAAGAAGAGGGTCGCTGGGCATCGCCCTCTCCATGCCCGTCCTCGGCTCCCATACCCGCAGCCCGAGATGACCGTCCAAAGCCCCTGCCCTCACCCCATCCTGCCTGCCCACCAGGCTGCCTAACTCTGGCCCCACCATCTGCAGCCCTCCCTGTTTCACACGGCCACACGAGCCCAGGTCCCTGGGACGGATGAGATTGCCCACAGGACCCAGGTGATAGCAGGATGCTGGTTGCCTGGTAGGGGACGGGAACCCCAGAGGACAATTCGGTCAGGGCCCAGCACCTCTGCATTCTCCGACCGCATCCCCAAGCAGGTTCTGGGGCCACATACTGACTTTCACTTACCTCTGACCAGGGTCACCCTCAAGGTCTCTGTGCCTCAGTTTCCTCCCCCCCATGCAAAGGGGTGACTGGTGATGCCACCTCACGGGGTTGGGGTGACGAGCACAGATCAAGGGATGTGGTGTGGGCCTCATACACAGTGGGCGTGTGGCCACAGAATGGGCAGCAAAGCCCCGGATGGGCAGGGTTGCAGGGCTTCAAATGCAAGTCCCCCCTCCCCCCACCCCCCGCTCTGCTCATTCTGTCGTCTGGAGGCTGGGGTCCAGTCCGGGCCTGTGTGCCCCGCAGGAGCAGAACCTGGGTCGGGATGGGCCTGCTAGGCATAGGCTGCTGGAGGCCCCCAGGAGCCTTTCCTGCTTTCTCAGCATGGAAATCCTGGTTTAGATGGGCACATGGCATCTGGTATAAAAACTATTTCCCAGTTTTCCCTGTAGACTGACTTCTAGCTGATAATAAACAAACGGAAGCCGTGTGTGTGTCTGTGTGTCTGACTTCAGAGACCAGTCCTTAAAGGGACAGGGTGCCCTTCTTTGTTACATCCCCTCCTGCTAGCTGGAATGCAGATGTAATGGGTAGACTCCAGCAGCCACGTTAGGCTGAGGAAGAAGTCTTGTAAAGCAGAGAAACAGGACAGGAGAGTCTTGGATCCCTGGCACCACAGAGCCGCCGGCTACACAAAGCCAGACAGCCTCCCTCTGGACTCAAAAACCACGAGAGACAAATATGAGTCCATTCTGTTGCATCCACAGTCATTTAGGGTTTCTCTGTTGATCACAGTCAAGCCTGAACCTAACCCTAATCCCACGTGACGGTTCCTAGAGAGACTTCTTGGCACAGAGAGAAAAGGTGCACAGCTCAGAGGCCGCTGAGTGAAAGCAGATGACATTCTTCTCCTGGGACCGAGGGCGGGGACAGAGGTGGGGTCCCACCTCCCACTGCAGCCCCCTCCACGCACACAGAGGGCACGGGTGTGAAGGGGCAGCTGGAGACCCCTCGAGCACACTGGGTCCAGGTTGTTCACCAGCTCCACCCCCCAGAGCTGTGGAGAAACCGGGTGGGGCAGGTGGTGCCGGCCCCGTGGCCCCAGGGCTCACGGCACAGGCTCCGGGTGTCCTGGTGGCTCTAGGGCCCGCAGCCCCTTGGCTCTAGCAGAGACAGGCAGCGGACACTGCAGGACCATGGTACGTGCTGTGGGTGGACAGAGGTGAGCCCTGTGGCCGCCCCCAGCCCTGCAGGCAGGACCCTAGTCCCCTTCTCCTCAAAACCCAAAGACACCTCAGCCCAGAACTTTCTAGAAGTCCTGCAGCATAGTGGGCACTGGTCTGTGGCCTGGGCCTGCCAGGACCCTCCCCACCCCACGGCTTCAGGGCCAGGATGTCTGCACAGGGGCTGGGGGACAGCAGGACTCGAGCTGCGGTCAGTTGCACCAGCCGAGAACTGGCCACTGCCTCGCAGGCCACTGAACCCTGATGAGCTGCTCTTCTACTCAGCTGACCCCCCAGGAGGCCCAGGGAGGGTCTGGTGGGTGGAAAATTCCAGAGGGCAGGGGCAGAGCTGAAAATATCCACGGGCTCAACTTGCCGCTGAGTCTCAAACCCAATGGCAGCCCAGCCCTCGCCCAGGCCCCAGGCAGGAGATGGAACGGTGTGTCCACCCCACACTCCTGCACCTCACCCTGCTGGGCCTGCACGGGAGCTGGAAGTCAAGGGGAATGAGGTGGAAGAGGAGGTGGGGGAGTGACCGGGCAGGTGCCAAGGACAGTAGGGGTGGCTCCGAGGACATCAGAGCCTAGGCTGGGCACCAGCGGCACATTCCACATCTGCATCAGATCCTGGCAGACCCCCTGGGCCGGCGTCCTGGTGCTCACCCGGCATTTCCCAGAGGGACCAGAGGGCTCGCCCGGCCCCAGGCCAGAGGCTCCGTCCCGGGACCCCAGCTGCTCCTGATGGCAGATGGAAGGGCCACAGCAGGAAGCCTCAGGCCCCGGGACCGTGCGGGTGAGCGTTAATTTCTGTTGTTTTAAGGCACCAGTTTGTGGTCCTTGTTATGGCAGCAACAGGCCCCTGACAGAGCCCAATGCCTTAACCCTGGAGAGCGCTGGCCCTCCTGTGGGGCACAGTGACCTCTTGGGGAGGCCATCACTACCCCTCCCACTGTGAGGCCGTGACGCAGCCTGCAGCCCAGAGACGGCGAGAGGAAAGAGGCCACACGCTGTCCAGATTGAATCACTGCGTTTTACTAAGTGCACAGGTCCACTGGCATCCGAACTCGTCCCTGTGGCAGCAGAACTTTCCAGAACTTTCCACGTGCGTCCCTGCCGCCAGACTCCACACCCGAAGTCCCTGGGCAAACCTGCACTGGGCCCCATTCTTGCGGCACGAGCATCAACCTGACAGTGGCTGAGCGAGTTACGATATCGCTGGTCCGCAGGAAACCAGAGTCCGTCCCTGGGCGTCCATCCCTAGAACTCGGGCCGTGCACGGGCCGCAACTCTAGTGGGCGTTGGCAACACATTCACGAAGAAAGGCGTGATCGCTCCAGCACAGGGGTGCTCGCGGGGTTACGAGTGTGCGTCGGTGCTGAAGGCATACGAGGGTTCTTTGGAGCGTGAACAGAAGTGCAAAGACAGCCAAGGCAACAGCACGGAGGGGGAGCTGCAGCCGCCTTCGGGCCAGAGGGCGACACGCTGCAAGCATGGGGCGCGGGCCGAGGGCGCGAGGGGATCCCGGGCAGACTCCCCGCAGAGGCGATGACTGGTGTGAGATCTGCTGCCCCCTCTGTGCCCGTCCGTGAAGCTGTCCTTCGGACCACGGGCGAGGAGGAGGCAGTTGTCTGCCTGGCGGGCGCCAAGGGGGCACAGGGTGACCTTGGTGACTTCCCGTCAACGTGCATTAAGGCATCGACTTTATGAAACCCAGTCGGGGCGGATGTGCGGCGCGTGGTGACTCCACACAGCTGCCTGGAAGCCCTGGACCCAGGCCGCCCCCGAGTCCCCTCCTCTCCTGGGACCTGATCTGCCTTCTGGAAGGTCTCCAGGGACGAGGCCATCGGCCAGACCCGGCGTCCTCCACCAGCCGGGGGCACCCACGCAGTGTCCGAGACGAGGGACCGCTGCCTCCCACACACCCTCCCAAGGTCGTGCAGACGGTCTCACCTCCTGAGGAGCCCCTCCTCCTCACTCGCTCTACCTCGTTCCCTAAATCCTCACTTCCTCCAATGTCACCTCCTCCTGGGGTCAGCCCTCGTCCCCCATCCCTCACAAGATGGCAGAATCCAGCAAACCTGGCCCCACTCACGCACACCCCAGGGGCTCCACAGGATCCTGGCCCGGGCGGCCAGCTTTCCTGGGACCCTTGGAGAGAGGAGAGGCATGAGCCCTGACCCCACCACACCACCGCCTTCAGGAAGCCCTCCTTGGTTGTCTCTCCTACTTAGTGCTTGGCAGGTACCCGAGTGGAGCTGACCCTGGGGGCAGGCACACCAGAGGGCAACTGGTCAGGGACAACCAAGCAGGTTCCCCGGGCACTGGAAGCAGGCAGCCACCTCTGCTGGGGCCACTCAGCACCCCTGCCCACACCCCACGTTAGTACACACAGTGGGAGGCCTGGAGATTTGCTCCAGGGGCACAGAGGTCCGTGCGCACCCCCACGGAGGGCAGCTGAGGACCACCCAGGACGGGGCCGGTCAGGGATGGGAGCGTCTGATTCTGAGCCAGTGTGCACGCGGGCACCTGGGACACTGACCCCCACCCACTGCTCAGACTTGCCCCGGCGTGCAAGGTGCCCCAAACCCTCCCTGGTGGGTCCTCACTGTCCAGCTGTCCCTCCTCACACCACGTTTGTCTCAGGGTTGGGATGTCAGAGGGTGTGGAAACTGTGCTGTCCTCGCTCTTGCAGCACGAGGCCCGGGCCGCGCCCGCAGCTCTGTACATTATTTACAGCTCGGGGTGGGTATGAAATAGATAAAAGGCAGCATTTCTACAAAGGCCCCCAGCAGCCCCCCAACCCCTGGGCCTCAGGAAGCATCTAGAAATGTCTCGGGACCAAGTTCTGTCCCCCAACAGCAGGACAGGAGCACCTGCTTCTCTGGGAGCCCCCCAAATGTGGGGGCGGCAGAGGACAGGCTGCTCCTGCCTATCTCTCCGTGTTAACAGCTGGAATCCACGACCGGGGGTCTCCGGCCGGGGTGAGGGGGACAATCAGTTAAATAAATTAGCACATGGAAGACGCGCAATGCTGCAGCCGGCGCTCTGCTCTGGGCTGGGGGGCGGGGGACAGTGGAGGACAGTGCCAGGCTCCCGTTCTCACCAGGTGGGCCCCCAGCAGCAGCCCTCGCCGTGCAGGCTCCCAGAGCCTGGGGAGACTCCCAAGCCTCCAAAGGGAGTTTGAGGAGAGTCCTCACAAAAGGAGGCGGTGTCACTGAGGGGGCAGCCGTGGCCTCCTGCTGGCAGACCCTGGGGAGGTGTCCGCCACCTGGTCAGGTCCCTCCGCCCTCCAGGGCCGCCCAGTTTGAGGCCGTGGCTCGCGATTTTACGTGGACACGAGAGGGAGACGTTGGATCACAACACACCAGTGAAGGGAGACGGTGATGTGCCGCCAGGCCACATGGCCGAGGGCAGAGGGAGCCACCAGCACCCCAGCATCGCATCTGGACACCCCTCAGACACCAGAACCTCCCGGCCTAGCCCAGGCCATCTCTTGGCATCAGGCTGACCACATGCTCTGGATGGCTGCCCAGCCAGCTGCAGGGAGGGGGCGGTGTGAGACCCTGGGTGGGCTCCAGCGGACCCTCTGCGAGTGCTGCCCAGGAACCCTGGATGTCCTACATTCCCTGGGTCCCACATTCCAGGACCACCTGTGACTCCTGAAATCATCAACTCCTCGTGGCTAAAAGCGGGCAGAGCCAGAGAGAGGTTAGAAACACAGTGTGTGTGTGCACGTGGGCACATGTGTGTAGAAATGTATGTGTGCATGTGGGCACATGTGTGAGCATGCATTGTGCACCTGTGTACAAGTGTATGTGTGGAGCATGTGCCTGTGGGTGTGCACGTAAGTATGCATGTGGGCACCTGTGTGTGCAAGTACTGTGTGATGTATGTGCCTGTGCACGTGTGTGAGTGGGCATCGGCACGTGCATGAGTATGCATGTGGGTGCCTGTGTGTGCAAGCATATGTGTGGTGTGTGTGCCTGCGGGTGTGCATGTGTGAGTGTGCATGTGCTACGTGTACACAGGCATGTGTGAGAACAGGTGTGTACAAGTGGGCATGCAGGGACCACACGCTCTAGCTAACAGATGCACTTGTCTGGGGAAATGTCCGCTGCACTTGCCACGGGGCAGGGGCTGCCCTCAGCCACGCTTGTGTCACACATGCACACCCAAGAGAGTGCAGAGACTTCCCATGGAAGCGTCCAGCCCCTTCCCTGTGACACTTCTCTGAAGGTGGGGAGCCCAGGCAGCCGATGGGCACCAAGGGGTAAGGAGCTGCTCAGGCCTGGGTCTGGAGGTCCTGAGAGGGAGCCCCTCCCTGTAATTTCCCCAAACTGCACCCCCAAACAGATGTGTGCCTTCTCTCTTCTGGGGACCAGAGATGCTGGAGGAGACCACACGTTCCCCCTGCTCATGGGGGCATGTCGATGGTCTGGCCTCAGTTCCTCCCACTGCAACCCAGAGAGACCCCCGGGCTGTGGCTCTCAGCACCTGCGTCTGGCTCAGCAGCTCCGGGGATGGGAGGCACGTCTGAGGCCAGCTCCTCCTGCCGCCAGGCACACAGCACAGGGGCCGCGTGGCAAAGGACACAAACCTCTCCTCAGGGGCAAAGGGCCCCTCCCAAGGCCTGGGGCCCACGACAGCCAAGATCTAGCAGAGACAGGTCCCTGTTGCTGGCAGTGGGATCTAACTCTCCCAGGGCTGTGCGAGCAGCTGGTTGAGGCTGGCATCAGGCGTGGACACGTTTGGCTCGGGGGGCCCTGCTGGTCAGGGGGGCTGGTGGCTGGAGTCTCCGTCTCCTATGGCGGGAAGGTGAAGGCGGCTCCGACGCCAGCCCCGACCTCACCCAGAGGGAGGTGGCAACAGCAGTGGCCATTTGCCTGGGCCACTTCACACCAGCCACGCCAAGTGCCACAGTGTCTACACTGGAAGGGAGTTTTCTCACTACCATGGGGCCCAGGGCCTTAGAAACTCTGCCTTTGAGAACAAGAGAGTGTGCAGAGCAGACATATCGGGGTGGGGGGCGAGTCGAGGGCTTCTGGGTGCCTCCTTCCATGCCTGACCCCTCCTGCAAGGCTGGAAGGAAAGGGTGCCCTTGCTGCAGCTCTGAGAATGGATGGCACTCTCCCGCCCCGGGCACTGACCTCGGGCAGGCACAGGACCCAGCCCACCCTCCAGCTGCCCGGTCAGCAGCCCCAGCATGGAGGTGCCCAAAGGTGGGACCCAAGTGTCCTGGCAGGCGCAGGGGCTGCAGCATTGGCCCCTGCCGTGGACGGCAGGCGTAGCTCCAGAGACCTCCGTGCACCAGGGCAGGCGACCCTCAGACACGGCTTCCACAGTCCTTCCCAGAGGGTAAGACGGACTCTCCTGCTGACTACGCTATCCGCCTCAGGACGGACTTGAACGAGCCCTGCAAGGAGGGGCAGAAGCCCTCCCTGGACCTGGTGCTCTGGGGGAGGCAGCCACGCGGCGGGCTTAGCTGGGCCCAGCCCTGGCGCATGCGGGGTCATGCGCCCAGGCACCCAGGCCTGCAGTTCTGTCACCCCCAATACCAGACGCCCCACACACTGACTGCCGAGGGCCCAGACGGATCCCACCTCTGCCTCTTGGGCTGGGCTCCCGGCTCGAAGCTGCGGTTCCTCTGGCCAAGGTGCCGACAGGAGGGGGGGGGACCTGCTCCCCAGGGCCCAGGGCGAGAATGGGTGTCCCTGACTCCAAGACACCCAGAGTCACAGCCAAGGGACTGGTCAGTGGAGGAGAGGGTGGGGGTGGTCAGTTCCCGTGGGGACAGGAAAGAGGCCCCCCCAAGACAGATGGCCTCTGTCTCCAGATGGCAGGGGCCTTGCCGACCTTGCCGGCTGCGGGGGCTTTCCTCAGCGGTTACGGCCCCGCCCAGCCCTGGGTCCTGTCAGCGCCCCGACGGGGGACAGGTGAAGCAAGGCCCCCCAGGGAAGGACGGGGTGTGAATCTGCTCCCCAAAGCCCACCTGGCCCCAGGACCCTGGAACGTGAGCCTGGCTCAGGGCGGCACCCCCAGCTGCACAGCAGCCCTCCCTGCACACGGGTTTCTCTCACAGTGGGGCTGAGGCCTGGTGACGGGCACCCAGCCAGGGCAGAGCAGAAAGGACACGGGGGTGACCCCCCCAGATCTCCTGTGGCCGGGACGCCCCAAGGGCCCCCTTCCAGAAATCTACGGAGCAGTGGCCGGGAGTCAAGGGTCCCTGGTCCTGCGGTGTGGTCTCCAGGTCTGGTGCCCCTGCCTCCAGGCCAGGGTCCTGGACTTGGGTCCCACTCCTATCACAGCACACTCGGAACCCAGGGGGAGGAGGGAGACGACGCGGACCGGCAGCTCTCTGGACAGGCACCCATGAGGCAAGGAGGCACTGCCTCAGCTGTGCACACAGACGGACGGACGGAAGGAGGGAAGAAAGGACAGATGCGGTGGGGGCAGGAACGGAGGAACAAAGGCAAGCCACGCCCAAGGGGCCGGCCACACCTCCTGCAGCCACCTGCCCTGGGTCCCTCCCCACCAGGCCTCAAGGCCACCCATCCCTCATGAGACAGCCCTGCCACTTGCTGCCACCCTCACCTGGGCCCTGCTCCCTGACCCCACGCCTCCACCCAGCAGCCAGGGGCCTGTGCTTGGCCATCACGCCAGCCCGGGCTCACAGCTGGGCCGACGGCCTGCAGAGTGGGTAGGGCTGGCTCAGCTGCCCCTTGTTGGAAAAGAGCTCTTGTCCCCACCGGCTGCAGCTCTGCATCGCCACCCGCATTACTCTAAGAAAGGCCCTGCAGGGTCCCGCTCCGAACCCAGAAGGCCAAGAGTCAGGGAGAGGCCGGGGGCGGCCTCATTTCCGGGGCCCGGCCCAGCCCACATCGCCAAAGGGGCCCTCGCCCGTGGCAGAGCGTGGCGGTGGCCCGCACGGGGTGCAGAGGTCCGAGTCTGTGTCCGACTCGCCCTCCGCGATGTAAGGTCTGACTTTGGCGCAGGGCGCCACGGCCGCGTAGCAGCTATTGAGTGCATCCAGGTTCTCCTTGGACTGGGAGATGCTGAAGCCGCTGAAGGAGCGCTCCAGCTCCTCGTGGTCCACAGACGGGATGGAGATGGACGTGTCGCTGTCCCGCAGGGCGCCCTCGTGGGACCTGCAGGCCGGCGCGTCCTCGTGCCTCAGGAACTCTGTGCTGGCCCGGTTGCCCCCGCTGTAGGCGGACAGAGACCGCTCATGGGCGGGTGGTGGTGGGATGCGCACCAGGGAGCCATGGTCCCCCACGGGTGAGGCCCCGTGGCCCTGGCGCGGGTGGCACTGCTGCCAGGAGGTGGAGGGCGGGCACTGGGCGGGGAGCGCAGCCGGGGGCGCCGAGAAGTTCTTCTGGCCCGTGGAGCTGCTGGAGCGAGTGAGCTTCAGGATGCAGCCGTTCCTGTCGCCGTGCTCCCGGCTGTCCTCAGGGCTGTGGTACGGTGGGGCTGGCTCTGGCTCCTTGGCCCCGAAGTAGGCCTCAGTCTCCGCTGGGGGGATGCCCATGCGCTGCATGTATATGTTCACCAGGAAATCCAGCTTCTTCTCCATGGACAAGACCTGCAGGAGGGGCTGCTGCACCCAGGCTGCTCCCTGAGGTGGGGGACCCAGGCTGCTCCCTGAGGTGGGGGACCCAGGCTGCTCCCTGAGGTGGGGGGACCCAGGCTGCTCCCTGAGGTGGGGGACCCAGGCTGCTCCCAGAGGTGGGGGACCCAGGCTGCTCCCTGAGGTGGGGGACCCAGGCTGCTCCCTGAAGTGGGGGGACCCAGGCTGCTCCCTGAGGTGGGGGGACCCAGGCTGCTCCCTGAGGTGGGGGACCCAGGCTGCTCCCAGAGGTGGGGGGACCCAGGCTGCTCCCTGAGGTGGGGGACCCAGGCTGCTCCCTGAGGTGGGGGGACCCAGGCTGCTCCCTGAGGTGGGGGGACCCAGGCTGCTCCCTGAGGTGGGGGGACCCAGGCTGCTCCCTGAGGTGGGGGACCCAGGCTGCTCCCTGAGGTGGGGGGACCCAGGCTGCTCCCTGAGGTGGAGAGGTATCAGGAGGCGGACCCACAGCAGCCCGGGCTGTGACTCCACCCTCCCATGTGGCCCTGGAGTCTCCTGCTTGTCTGGGCGGCCCTGCTGCCACGGTGGGTCCACCCTTAGAGCAAACTCTACAGAGGGAAGGACCCAGCCATCCTTCCCTGGCTCCCAGAGATGAATCCCGGGACAAAGTTCTTGTGCGTGCTTCCTGAGGACTCGCTCCCAGGAGAGCAGCGAGAGTCAGGCAAAGAGGCTGGTGGGGGCAAGGCCAGCCGGCTGCAACAGAGGACTACCCGCTGGGCCGAGAGTACGCAGTGCCCTGCGGCAGCCCTCAGCCCTGATGGGCCTCATGCCACCAAAGCTTGAGGACCCCCACAGCGTCCAGCCCAGACGCCCCCAGGCTACCAGGGCAGGGGCGGTCCCTCCCCACAGCCTCTCCCACCTGCTTCTCCACCTTCCCCAGCCGTCCCATCATGCTCGGGTCCTCCGGCAGCTCCGCCTCGGCCGGGCCCTTGGTGCGGTCCTTGTCTGTTATCGCTGGGCCCCGGCCCACAATCTGGTCCACTCTGCCGGGAAGAGACCCACCCCCCGGCATGAGTTCAGGTGAGTGCCATGGAGCCCATGGCCCTCTCCTCCTGGGCCAGGCCACAGCTCCCCCAGATCCAGGCTCCAGGCTGAGCCCAGAGCTGACCAGGGGGCAGCGGGGTGCCAGGACAGATGGATGCCAGGCGCCAGTAGCCGCCCTGTGCTCTGACCCCCTCGGGGCCTGTCCCGTCCATTCCGTTCCAGTGGGCTGCACATTAGTGAGGAGTAAAGAGAAGGGGCTTGGGGCCACGCACCCCTCAGCCCCCCTGCGCCCGTGCCCTGCCCCAGCCCAAGCTTTACTCCTACATAATGTGCCACCGAGGCCGAGGCCCGACTGGGGTCTGGTGGGGACGGAGCTCAATATCTGCGGCGGGAACAACAGAAGCAGGGAGGCAGTGAGAGTTCGGGCTCCATGCACCAGGACGGGGAGGGGGGCGGAAACAGACCAACACAGGAAACCAACGCACGACCAAAGGAGGGGAGACAGAGCACTGCCAACCAGAGAGTGGCTTGTGTGCTCGTGTGCACATTTCTGCCAGTGTGCATGTGTGTGCATTTGTGTGCACGTGTGAAATGTGTGCTGTGGCACGTGTGTGCTTACTGTGTGCATGTGTGTACCGTGCACGTGTGGAATGCAGAAGCAGCTGAGCTGATCTCAAACGAGGCCATGGGTCACGAATGCCAACAAGAGGGGAAGGGTCTTCCTTCGGGGAGCACGGCGTCCCCTGATCCCCGTGCTGAACAGGAAGGGCACCAAGGGGCTTGGAAGGGGCTGCAGGAGCCATGTGGGCTCCCAGTGCTCCGAGCTGGTGAGCAGCACATTTGTGGACACTCACTCGGAAACAAAGGCCCCACTGTCTGCAAGCTGCTGGGCCAGCTGCTCCAGACCTGCGGGGCAGACGACACTGGAGCCAGTCGGCTGAGCAGGAGGGGCCGGGCGGAGGCCACACAGCCCCACCCCATCTCCGACCTGGAGCTTTGAGCACGAAACGCACTTCTCACGTGCGTGTGGGAGTGTAGGAGGCTGCCAGCTCCCACGGCCCAGCAGGCGCCACCTGAGCCAGCCGGGCTTCCTTCCTCACCCACAGGGCCACCCTGCCTGCCTCTGACGGGGGCCTCAGGGGTGACCTTTCTCTCTGTCGCATAAAGCAGAAGGGTCAGGCTCGCGTCAGCCACGGTGCAGCCTCCTCATGCTCCACTGGGCTCCATGCTGGACTCATGCACAGGGGCCGGGAGGGCGGGAGGGGCTGGGCCTGGGCTCCAAGCAGACGCAGTAGGACGTGGGGAGGGAGATGGGTTCTCTGGTGTGTCCAAGTGTCCACACAGTCCAGACACAGGTGCTCAGCGCCTTCACCCCTGCCACATGACGGGTCGCCTGCCCGGCCGGTCCCACTAGGAGCCTTAGCCAAGGGCTGCTGCTGATGGGGGGCTGGGAGAGGGTCCTCCAAGAGCCTGTGCCACCCCCTCCCCTAGGCCTCAGGCTAAGGAGTCGGGCTTAACCCCCAAGTGCGCAGACTGTCCTTCCAGCCCCGTTTCTGAGTGAATCCACGTGTCCTGTGGCTGCAGTGCTCCGGGGGGTCTTGGGGGCTCCCAGGGCTGGCAGGGTCTTCCCAGCTCACGGCCCAGCCGCCATCCCCTGCAGCAGTGCCCAGAAAGATAGGCTTAAGTCTCAAGGCTCAGCATCCTCGGGGCGGGGGGCCAGAGGCAGAGTCTGGAGCTCCCGGGGGAACTCCTTTCTCATGGGAGAGCCACTGGGTTGAGATGCCCAGCACATTGACCCTTGGCCTCTGTGCAGAAACCTTGGCTCCTGGGGAGTACAGGTCAGACACTCCAGTCGCTCCACTGGGCAGCTTGGGCCCCGCTCCACGCACCCAGCTCCAGCATCCCTGCTGGCCTCCAGGGCGCCCCTGGGCCCCACTGTCCTTGAGCTGCCAGCATGGCTGGGGTGTGTCTGCTCTCACCTCCATATCCCCACCGGCCAGCTCAGAGTGGGGCGGGTTGCAACCATCACCTGCCCAGCCCCTGGAAAGCAAGAAGGCTCCCAAGTCTGAATCCGTCCCCAAAGAGCCTGCGTCTGCCAATCACTGCCTAACTGTCCCGTCCCATCCTGCCCCTTGGCCGGGCCGTCCTCATGAATGACACCAACTATGATGGCGACTAAAGTAAACACACCCTTGGAGACCCACTGGGTGCTGAGAACCTGGCAGGGACTTTCCTCTTTGTTCTTCACAGGAGTTTAAAGGCAAGAAAAGCGACAGGACCTCCGAGATCCACACAGCAGCCCAGCTTGACCCCAGCAGCAGGCGGGTGCTGGGGTTCTGAGTCGGTGCCGGGGCAGAGCCACCGACGGCCCTGGGCCCACAGGCCCTCCCTGCAGTCTGAAGGCATCTGTCCTCCGGGGGCTGCCTTCTGCTCCTGCCCAGGGAGCCCCCCGCCAGGCGGGCATCATGCAGGATGTCCAGACAGGATCCCCCACAGAAAGCTTCCCCAGGACCCCATCAGAGGAGCAGCTCAAGGGCACCTGACACAGCCCACCCAGGGCTGCAGGGACGGCCTCCCCCCAGTGTTGCTTAGTCAGGGACAGAGACGTCCCCTCCGTCCATCGGAAGAGCAGTGCGGGAGCTGCCGTCATGTGGCCTGGAGCGAAGGGGGCTGGCCATTCCACAGAGACAAGGAGGGGAGGGTTGGCATCCTGACCTAGGTGAGTACTGGGGTGACTCTCTCGGAGGGGCCGTGGGTCCTTTGGTGGGGTACTTCTTGTGCCGGGGAGTTGAAGGGGGTGGGGGGCCCACAATCATATCTATCCTGGCGAGTAAACAAGAAAAGAGACACCAGCAAATGCATCGTGAAGCAACACGAAAGGGGAGTCGGCTGGAAACTGGCAGAAACAGAAGGAACCACTCAGCTTACGGTAACACAGTGACACTTCCCACAAACATGTTCCGCTCAAAACAGAACGCAGTGGACGCCACGCTCGTGTGACCTTGGCTGTGCCCAGGCTTTCCTGTCTTCAAGTGAGCGCGACCGGGAGCCAAGTGCCCCAGGTGTGCCCAGGCGAGCATGCATGTGCACGGGACGCAGGGCGGCTGGCAGCAAAGTACCAGGGCGCCGGCTCGGAACGACAGTAAGGCTTTACCAGCTAGGACAGAACGTCCCAGCTCCTTGGGGTGGTTGAGTGTTTTTTTTTTCCCAGACAGAAAGGGAAGGAAAAGGGAACATTTAGGACAGAAGAGCCTGGTGAACAGAAAGCTGTAGTGAGAGACGTGGAAACAGGTCCAGTAGTCGAGACATAGGACTGTCTCTCACACACCCACACGTTTGTTCACGTGGGTACATGCACACGTGTACACAGGCGAGATGCACATGCTCTCACGTGGACTCACATCTGCACACACACGAACACTCATGTTTGCTCCCACACATGCCCACTCACACGTCTGTGCACAGTGGCACATGTTTGCTCACATCTGCACACACGTGTTTGCTCACATGTGCACCCACATACATTTGCACACTCGCACACATTTTCTCACACGTTTGATCATGTGCACAATTGCACGTTTGTCACACAGACCCACAGATCTAGGAACGCTCTGGGAGGACACTGAGCAAGGGGCCTCCCAGCCTGAGCCCGTGTAGAGGAAGGGGTCGCTTCCTGGCACCCCTCTGTGAGAGCAGCTTAAGGCCCAGAGAGACCCCTCTGCTGGCATCCTGGAGCAGGACAGGGGAGGTGCCCCAAGGTGGGCATGCCGACCTCCCCTGACTGAGGACTTGGCTCCTGCCAGGGCGCTGGGAGCTGGGCTGACCCCAGGATTGTCCCTGACCATCCAGAACCTCCCACCTGTGGCAGCCTCATTGGAGGCCCTGCGCAAGGGAGGAGCTCTGACTGGCAGAGCATGCGACCCACTTCAGGAGAGACCCACCACGACAGCCCATGGCCTCCGTACAGGCACCGCCAACACGTGTGTGCACATGTTTGTTTGTGATAGAGGGCATGAGCCTGTGAGCACAGGTGTCCTTGGTGTGCATGTGTGTGCATGGACTTACAGGGTATACGTATGCAGGCAGGAGGCTAAAAGTATGCTTATGTGTGTGCACGCTCATGCCAGCACACGTGTGCAGATGGGAGTGGACACGGTCTGTGTGCACATGCCTGTACACACCTGTACATGGGTGTGCTCATGTGTGTCCTGGGCCTGTGCTTGGTCTGTGTATGCACACACACAGGTGACTGCTGGGGTGAGCAAGCCAGTCAGTCCTTACACACATGGGGCCGGAGACAGTGGAGTCAGCATATGTCCTGCTATTGCCACGCCTCAGACACACCCCAGCTCCGCTTCCTACCCGGGATGTGAGAATCACCTGTGAGGCGGGGAGGGTGGACAAGCCCCTCTGTGCTGGAAGATGAGGTGCCAAGTGGAGTAACTGCTGCCTGATGGACCCACGAAACCCTACAGCTTCATCTTTCAATAGAACTACTCTGTTCCCAGCACACACACACACCTGTGCACACACACACGGACATACTGCATACACAGGACAACACAAAGAGACACACCCACACACATGCATAACATGTGTGTGCACATGTGTGCACATTGCTCTTGTACACATACAAGTGTGTACACACATGCATGCACTTTTACGTGTGCAAAGACCTGTACACGAGTGCACATGTGCATTCATACACGTGTTTACATGCATGTGCGTGCACATACATGTGTGCACACATACATACACACACATACATGCTTGACCATCACAGTGTGGGCAGGAGGGGAGAGAAGGAAGAGACAACAGAAATGTTAGAAACAGACAGACCACACGAGGACATGGCAGAAAGCCCCTGTGGGATTGTCGTGGGGCCAGAGAGGAAGGGCCCGGAGGTGGCAGCAGGCAGGGCCAGCCACCGCACACCCTGCAGCCCTGCCCACCACCCCACTTCGGGCAGGGCGTGTGTGGGCTCCTGCACTGCACTCCTCTCGCACTGGCCCCTGACGGACACTCCCTGACTCGTGCCAGGACGGCCTGGCCGCCACGCCCCAGGGCTGGGCAGGCAGGGGAGGGGCTCTTGCCTGGACTGCAGGTTTTTGATGCGCGACAGCATGTCCAGGTGGCCGGCCGAGTACTGCTCGATCACGTCCATCACGTCGTAGGGCCGCAGGCTCTCCTTGAACTTCCGCTTCGACACCAGGAACCGCATCACACTGAGAGGGGACGTGCAGAGGGCGGTGAGCCGCAGGCCGGTGCCCACCGCAGGCTGCACTCCAACCCCAACCCAACATCCGCCTGCCTGAGGCCTCCCGGCATCTCCGAGAGTGTCCACCAGTTGTCTGGGCCACCCACCTGCCGTGGCCACCAGCCACTCGGGCCCGGCTGCACAGACAGACCCTTGTCCACCCAGGACCTCCCTGGGTGGGGGTGGCTCCTGGCCGTCTGCTAACAGCTCTGGGGCTCTGCACCCGGGACGGGCAGGTGACACGAGCTGCTTACCAGCCACAAGAAGCCAGGACTGCAGGATGTCAGCCGTCCCACCAGAGTCTGCGCCCACACACCAACCCCCCAGAGGCCTGGCATCCCAGGGAGGGGTGGACACGCCCCTTTCTGGGTCTCACCCCAGGTGCCCCGGGGTCCCTCACCACACAGCCCGGATGCTGACTTTGAGGCCCGGGGTCAGGTCCTCGGTCACAAACTCGCAGTTACAGCTCTTGTTGTCATCCACAATGTCCTCCCCAGGGAGACTTGCTTCTGGGTGGAAGGAGACACAGCCTGTGAGGGGACGGGCCACCCTGGGGACAGAGGGGACCCGGCCCTGTGGTCCTGCAGCACGCTTGTCAGAGAGGGTGTCAGGGACCCCTTGGTGCTTCCCTGGGGCACCCCCCCAGGACCACTATGCTTTAGAAACCCACCCCTCCATCCTGCCCTCCTCAGCTGGCTCCTCGCCCCTGCGGCCTGAAAGGAGTGGCTGTTTTGAGGGTTTAAAATGTGAATGGACCGAGGGACAGACCAAATGTGATACATCCACACACAACAACAACAGAACATCACTCAGCCCTGGCAAGGAGTGGAGCACCGCTGTGCTGCGGGCGGTGGACCTGGAGAACGCCGTGCTGGGCACGCAGAGCCAGACACGAGGGACAAACACCGGGTGAGTCCCCAGGTGCCAACTGCCCAGAACAGGTAAATCCAGACACAGAGCAACTTGCGTTGGCCGGGGACTGGGAGCAGCTGCTCCCAAGCAGGGGCGCCCTTTGGGGTGATGAAACGTCTGGAACCAGAGAGTGGTGGGTGCATGTCACTGTGGATCACTGGGTGCCACTGGGTCGTTCACTTTAAGAGGATTAATTTCACGTTCCATGAATGTCACCTCAATAAAAGAAGAGGCCACGACGGGGGTCCCTGCTCAGAGGCCGCAGGGCCCGGGGAGGACCCTGGAAGTGCTCCACTGAGGAGGGCGACAGGCTGACCCACCTTCTGAGTTCTGCCGTGAGGCGGCGCCCTTGATCCGGAAGGCCTGCCGCGCCCGGCTGCGGTCCCCAAAGCTCCAGCTCTTGGGCACCTTGCTCGGACTGTCCTCCAGGCTCTGGTCAGCGCTGGGTGACCGGCGGACAGTCTGGGCCTGCGGGGACCCCTTCCCCTTGGCAGCCACTCCTCGGGGGCTGGAGAAGACACGATCTTTCAAACTGACCTTCTGACTGCTCCGCAAGAACCCACAGACAGACGGACAAACGGACACACACAGCAAGAGAAACACAGCAAGAGAGGTCACTCCGGAAGAATGCCCACACCCCTCGTCTGCTCGTGGCTGATGCCGTCCCTGTGGACGGGAGGGGGACGCGGACCCAGGGAAACGACCCGACGCTGGGTGAGCAGGGACGGCGCTGGACGGTCAGCTCTACCACAGCTCCCCGGGGCAGCTCGGGGGCTCAGCCTGGCCGGGGAGGGGTCAGTGGACGCTTAAATTACTTTTGGCTGCCACCAAAAGGCTCCGGAGCCCTCTCCATGCTGTCCTGCCAGCCTCCTTCTCCGTGTGACACTCCAGGGCAGGACAGGTCCCAAAGCGCCCGTGGCTGAGGCCTTTCCCTGGGCACCTCCTGCGGGCCCCGGCCACTCCAACAGTCTCCTGCCTGCCCCTCCACCCCCATGCCAGCCCCGGGGTCAGCCCTCCTCCTCTCCTCCTCCCTCCACCGCCGGCCCCAGGGTCAGGAAGGGCAAGGTCTGCAGCTGAGCGGGGGCCCCTCTAGAGCACCCCGGGGAGCTGCCTGGTGGGACAGAGTGGGTAGAGCAGCAGGGAAACGAGAAGCATTGTGGAGGGTAAGGGCCCTCCCCTTGGTTTTGGCGCCTGGGCCCGCCCCACCTCCCCTCTGCCCAGAGATGTGCGGGTGCCACCCCGAGAAGTGCCCAGGAGCTGGGTGTCCACACTCCGGGCGGATGAAGCAGATGCACCTCCGTGGTGGCCGCCTCGGCTGAACAGGCCTGATGCCCGAGCCCTGGACCAAGGCCACAGGAAGGAAGTGATCATGGCTGGCCAGCCATAGCCCTGTGGGGGTCCTCGGACGTCCCTGTTCCTTGTCTCTCAGTAACCCTAGAGATGGGCCTGGCACCCAGTCTGCCCGGCTCTCGCACCTCTGGGCAGTGACCAAGAGACATGATGGCCCTGTGGTCCGGAGCTGCCTGCGGCTTGCAGGGCCAGGCGGCCACTCACTTCCTCCCACTGGGCAGTTCCCACCATCTGCCCAAGAGAGGAGAGTGGGACTCTTGTGACCTGCGACCTGCTCACACCCAGCCACACGCAGGAGCCATAGAACCTCCCCGAATGAGTTCTGAGCAGGCCGCTCGCTGCCCACGGGGCTGTGACAAGCCTTCCGGGGGCCTGGCAAGGCCTCTGCTGTCACTGGGAAGCCACCACCGCCAGCTAACCCCTCAGACACTGTCCGCCCCCGCCGCAGCCCCCCTGGGTCAGCCGCTTCCATCAGCCCCAGAGGAGACCCACAGCCGAGACGCGTCCATCAGACAGCAAGAGATGACAGCCACAGAAGAGAGAAAGCTCACAGCCCAGCCCACCCAGCCTGGGCACTGTGGCCGGGTTAGCACCCCCTCCCCAGGCCCCGGGCAGCTGAGACCATATGTGCTTGTTCACAGGTCTCTGCAGGACAGGAAGAAAAGGAAGAAAAGAGCCCCTGGGCAAACAGCCGGAGGCCTGGAGCCCACTCAGGCAGCCCTTATCATGTGAGACTATAACCACTACACCCAGAATGAGGCCACGATGGGCAGGTGAGGCCAAGGGACACCCGGAGCCAGGCGCCACGGGGGCCTCTGTCCAGATGACCTTCTCCTTTGTTCCCGTCTCAACAGAGACCACCAGCTGGTCCAAGGAGACCACGAGAAGCGACGGCCCGCTTGGCCTGGAGAGCTGGGCGTCCCCACTGGACCTGCTGCCCCGTGCAGCACAAGGGCCCCCAGGACATGAGGGAGGAGCCTTCCTTGGCCTTGGCCTTGGCCTGGCCCCACGGTGCCCAGCTCTCCAAAGGGCAGGCCAGGGAGAGGCACCCTGCTGGACGAGCCCACGGTGGGGACCCCTGGACCTCGCTGTCACAGCTCAGGGCCCACAGGCTCACAGCCCACCCAGCTACACTGGACCTGGCTCACTCGGGGTGCCCAGATGGCTGGGTGGTCCCGCAGGTGTCAAGAGGCCCCTCCCTCATCTCGTAAGGCAAGGGCAGGAGCAAATGTGTGGAGGGGCTCCAGCCACCTGCCTGCCGGAGACAGCCCGCAGCCAGAGTCCCCTGTTGAGAGGTAGCCTGTGGCCTCTGAGCACTGGCGTTTACACAGGGCCAGGAGAGCAGCTTCAGGAGGGTCTAGGGGAGAAAGCCAAGGCCCAGCCTCTCCTCCCCTGCCTGCCAGCTCCCCAGGATGAAACTCCAAACACGTGGAGCCAGCCGTAAACAGGGACGGGGTGAGTGGGAAGCCCCAGCTGAGACTGGCTGCTCCCCAGTCTGCATGGCTAGGGCCCAGCTCAGCGGCGCAGGAGCCAGCATCCAAGGAGAGGTCTGCCTGGTCCACGGCTGGACCACAGATGCCCAGGGAGAGTGGGGAGGATAAAGTGACATTGGTGGGACTTGCGCACAGCAGGGCCAAACCTGGCCTGGGCTCCTGGCCTGGCCGTGGGCACCTCCAGCCCTTCTGGTCCCTAAGAAGCCTGACCATAGCCCCTGACCCAAGGGACCAGTCTGGCCAGAAGCACCCTGGACACAAGCTCTGGGCAAGCAAGACAGCTTCTGCCAGGGCCCAAAATCTTCCCTCCTAGGGCTGCAACAGTCTCCCCACAAGCGCTGACCTCTGGGACACACAGGCAGCGTGGAGGGTTGGGGAGGCAACCCTCAGAGCCCCTCTGGGCTGGAGAAGGATTCGCAGCATGCACGGATGCAGACGCATAAGCATGCTGCCCCGGGGCCCTGGTCCTGTTGCATGGCCCCCACCCCATGCCCACTGCTCTGAACCACCACTTCCAGGGCCAGCACCAACGCATGCACACGGTGACAGGTGAGCACAGCTGCCAACACGTTGCAGGGCTGCACCGGTCAGGGAGGGAGGCGGGCAGGAGGGCGATGAGGGGACACCAGAGCAAGCAGGAGGATAGATGCTTCCACGCACCCAACAGCAGACAGTGGACAGGAGAGAGGAAAGGAGCAGTGAGCAGCCCGCAGCACGGAGGGCTGGGGCAGCCTCCCATCCTCCAGTCTCCAGTCTGCCCTAAACCAGCCTGCACATGAGACGGGGAGCGGTGGACCCTGGCTTTCTGGTGTGTCCGGGTGTCAGGGCCTCGGGGAGCCCGGCACACACAGGGCGAGCTGCCTCCACAGGTGAGGCGGCAGGTTAGGGAGTGGCCGTCCTCAGGTGCATAATAGAGGTGCTAGATTGATGAGCCCCTGAGAAAAGGCCGTTAGGACCCCAGGAGGCGCCGGCGCCCTTTCTGGGTCTCAGTGCCCGTGGCCGCCCTCCTGCTCAGAGCAGGGCACTGTCGGGCTGTTGGAGAAAGACAGGCGTTGGCGCCCCGCGACCGCCGTCTCCCAGGAGGTCATATGGAATCGGCTGGAGCCTAGCGCTCCACCATGGGGGCCCGCGGAGGCCGAGCTGCCAATCAGAATTGGGCCTGGGGCGGGGGGGCACCAGCCCCCCCTCGCTCATCTAGAACCTCTAATAAGCAGAGGGTGTGAGGAGCGGGCAGGGTAGGAAGAGCCGTGCAGCAATGGTCGGTCCGTGCGGCGCGTCCGCGGTACCTAGAGTGTCCAGGACAGCATCCACACAGGGACTCTCTGCACGGTCTGCCTTTACTGGAAACGAGGAGAGCACAGTTAGTCCCGGGGGCCCAGGCGGGGGCAGACAGCGCAGGTAAACTGAGGCACCGTGACCACCCCAGGGTAGTTCTGGGCTCGGGGTCCAGCAGCCGAGCAAGGACAGGCTGCACGTAAAGTCTTCCGCCGGCCTGGAAAAGAAAACAGTCCCCTATTTTTGGAGAGAGAAAACTCCCTGTTTTCTCTCTCCAAAAATACCTTTTCCTTCCAGAGTCAGAGTTCAGGGCCACGTCTTTTAAAAGATGTATTATTTTTTGCTATATTCATGCCAACAAAAAAATAATACATGGGCTAAGACTTTGCAAAGGCTTGTTCTAGATGGACAGGATTCCGGAAAGCACACATTTTAGGGAGGAAAAATGTGCAGTTCGGTTTCACAAACCAATCACCGAGGTTTCACAGAGCCCAGCCAGCTGCCTATCGGAATCCGGCCTCGGTTTACCCAGGAGGCAGCGGTGCCTCCACCTGGAGGGAAGCCAAGGAGGGGGGCGGGAGCACCGGGACATAGAGGGACAGCCACAGGCAGTGCAACCCCAGCTCAGGAGAACCCGCAGAGCTGGAGCCCTGGCCGAGCGGATGTGGCGCTGTGGGCAGCTCCTCAGGGAGCCTCTGTGCATGGCCAGCACTCCCCAGGAAACTCCCAAAGCCCCAAGACCCATCCTGCACTGGAACGTGCGAACTTCTGAACAAAGATGAAAACAGCAACCAAGAACGACGAGGAATCCTTCACTCTCCCGGGGCCTCTGCCTCTCGCTCCGTCTTCGCAGCTGTTGCCCCTGAGACAGCAGTTCTCAAACTGTGAACCCAAGGAACCCAGATGTGTCTGATGGTCTCAACTCACAGAAAGGAGCTCCACTGGGAAGGACATGCTCAACGCCCACACATCCATGTAAACACCAGGGGCACCTGCTGGTGTCCAGACAGGGTCTCTCCACGCACGTATAGGGATGCACGTGGCTAACTCTGGTAGGCAAGCAGGTCAGGGTTCCTCAGAGGGCTCTGTGCTGCCTGAGGGCTGAGAGGCGCCAGACCCCTGCGCACCCTGGACCTCTGAGGGGACCCTGCACATCCTGGACCTCTGAGGGGACCTGTTCACCCTGGACCTCTGAGGCGACCATCCCACCCTGGACCCCTGAGGGGACCTGCGCACCCTGGACCCCTGAGGGGACCTGCGCACCCTGGACCCCTGAGGGGACCTGCGCACCCTGGACCTCTGAGGGGACCTGCGCACCCTGGACCTCTGAGGGGACCTGCGCACCCTGGACCTCTGAGGGGACCTGCGCACCCTGGACCTCTGAGGGGACCCTGCGCATCCTGGACCTCTGATGGGACCTGCACACCCTGGACCCCTGAGGGGACCTGCCCATCCTGGACCTCTGAGGGGACCCCGCGCACGAAGTGCACTTCCTCCCTGGGGGACTTTCCAGTCACTTCAGGATGCAGAACAAAACTGACTAGATGACGAGAAACAGGGAAAAACGCCACAGGGAATGGGAACTAGGCCATAACAGTACATCACAACCAGGATCACCCAAACCGTGGCTGGTTCACACTTTAGACACTGACTTCTCTGAACAGACAAATTAACCCCCGACAGACCGCAAGTTGCTGTTCAGAACACGGTCCCCTAAAGATAAGTAGTGAATGGCTCCCAGGTGCTGACCTCACCTGCTGGGCTCTAGACAGCGGCCTCTCGGCTACCTCAGGTTTCACCTGAGTTCCAGGTGCCAACCTCGACTGGTGCACAGGCCTCGGCTCCTGGATTCCCCCAGGACTGAGGTCCATTATGGAGGGGATAGTAAAATTTGGGCTATTTCCCTAATATGTATGGTCACGTACATAATCATAAAACGTGGACTTAAGTGTTGTTGCAAAGACATTGATCAGAGGGCTGAAACATTAGTCACGTACATCATCCTCGCCCCACCACCTGGTACCCAGAAGCATTTAAAATAAAGCTGGAGCAGTTCCTTCCTCTGACCCTAGTCTTTGCCCCCACTCCCCAAGATTGAGAAAAGACCCTGAGACAGTGGGGACTGAAGCCAAGGGTGAAAAAGTTAAAAGCTTCTCTGGGGGAGAAGAGAGCAAGAACCTCGAGGCGAGTGCTGCTGACGGCAGCTGTGCATCCTCAGCATAACCAGCAGCTGTTCAGAACTAACCAGGTCTCTCCGTCCCTCCTTAGCATGAGAGGGAGTGTCTTTCCCAGGAAACCAACGTCCACACGGTCAAGACGAAAGAAGACTCAGCCTCACGGGGCCAAACACAGGCTGGTGGGAAGGCACCCACAGCCAGGCCCCATGCCCCTCCCCTACCTAGAACCCCAGATAGAAACCCCTGCCTTTTTCCCTTCGAGGAGGCAGATCTGAGATTCAACTCCCATCTCCTCGTCTGTCTGCCTTTCGGTGATAAACCTTTTTCCTAGCCAGAAGCCTGGCATTTTGGTTAATTGGGCCTCCTGGGCCTCAGGCAAGCCAGCCTGTGTTTGCGTTTGGTTTCTGGGAGGGCGAGAGGGAGGGATTTGGGGTCCAGCTGTGTGGCAATTGCTCTCACTTGGGGGCAGACCTCCCTGTGACTCAGTATCCCCAGGACCTGGACTCCCCACAGGGCAGCTCTGGCTGCTCACAGAAGCCCCTCAAATTTGGGGCAAATGTTCTCTCCCAGAGCGCACCCTCAATCAGCCACAGTCCCACCAGGTGGTACAGACCAGGACCTCCCAGCCGGCTCCTCCCAGGGCCCCAGGCCTGCACACAGGGGCCACGCCTGGAGGCTCCGCCCCTGGGAAAGAGGAGGAAGGGGGATGGTCTCCGCCTCCAGCACCTTAGAAGGATCCCAGCTCCAGCCAATCCCCAAACCGCTCTGCTGCCTCCCACACTCCCAGCACAGACGCCTGCCCTGAAAGCAGGTCCCAAGGCCCCACTCCCCATGCTCCCGGCTGCACTGCCTGATATGGCGACCACCCCACGCCTGGCTCCTAAACACGAGAGACTGAGGAATGCTCCTAATTGTATTTAATTTTACTGAAAATTCAAACAGCCACACGTGACCAGTGGCACCACCTTGGGGGTGTGAGGACCCCGACTCGAGCCTATCCCCCTGGGCTACAGGCTGGCACTGGAGTTTTCCTGCCCAGGTCAGCAAAGTGGAGCTTCATCTGGTCTGAGGACAGACAGCAAGCCTGTGGCGGGGCGGGCAGCAAGCCCAGGGGGCCCAGGGCTCATGAGGGTGGACTAGGCACCCAGACACCAAGACAGATGGACAGACAGGCACCCAACACGGCACACTGCTACCTGTGACGAGGAGGGGACCCACAGGGATGAGGGGATGAAGCGGCCAGGGTCAGGGGTCTCCTCCAGGCACAGGGGTGGGAACAGTGAGAAATAGGACAGGACAAAGGCAAATCAGAGACACACTTGGAGGCGCACAGCCCCGCCCCTCCCCACCCCACCACAGACAGCCTTGGTCTGACACCAGCGCAGCCACAGCGGGTCCTGCCAGGAGCTGAGGACCCCAACACAGTCAGGGGGCGTGCCCATTGTGAGCTGGGACCAACCGGGAGGGGGCCTCATGGAAGCTGAGAGCCCTGCGTCTACCCTGTCCACCTGCCCAGGCTGCTAGGGCCAGTGGGATCCTGGTGTGTAGGTGGAAGGCAGGGCACGGCCATTACCTTCCACCACGGGGGCAGAGGAGGGGCTGGGGAGCCACACTCCCATTAGCACTTCACAGAACAGGGTCTCCTCCCCGGGCAGCCCAGGAACAGCCCCACCCTCTCACGGGTACAAATGGCAGAACAATGTCCTGCATACCTACTACGCACCAGGTGCTAAAAAGGAGGTCTGTGGCTGCCCCAAGTGAGGGGACAGGAATGCCACCTCCATCACCTGGCTGACAGGCATGCACCCCAGGAGAGCAGGCCCTCTGCTCCCAGGGAACGGGACAGGGGCTTCACTGACAAACTGCTCCTCACTCCCACAGCGCCCAGCGCCTTCCCAAAGCCCTCGAACCCAAGAGGAGCCGACTGTCCGTGAAAAGGTCCAGTAGCTCTTGCCTACGGACGAGGCCCCCATCCGGCGGCCACACGCCCTTACCCGGGGACTTGCAAGAGCAGGTCGGGCCAGGGTGGCCCTTGGGGAAGCACTGGGTCACAGGCAGGCAGGGACACACGGACACACGGGGAGGAGATGGAGGAGCGGTGTGTGGGACGCAGGGAGAGGGGAGCCACGGAACATTCCGGAGAGCCCGGGGGAGGGCGCCCGTGTGTCCTCACCTTGAGTCCTCTTTCAGGTCAGCCACCTCATCCCCAAAGACAGGGCGGACGCGAAAGGGCCCCGAGAAGGGCAGTGACATGGTTAAAGGCACGTGGGGGCAGGCAAGATTTTCCAGATTGGGGGCGGGGGGGGCAGGAGAGGAGAGAGAGAGAGAGACAGGCTGAGACGAACACTGTCGGGCGCAAGTGTAAAGCGCGAGCTCAGGAAGCGCGGCGGGTGGCGGGCGGGCCATGGACAGACGGGGCGGTGGGTGGGGGGCAGCACCCAGAGCGCCAGGGAGGCCGCCCCGTCCGCAGGCACCCCACTGGAGCAGAGCCACGGCCCCACCTCCCCAGGCTCAGGGAGCACTGACGGGACTGCTGAAATGGGGCACCTCACGTGCCAGGCCGTGTGGACAACAGCCGGTTGGCACCCCGCTCATTCCCATCTTGCTGCCAAACCAACTCTGACTGACGTGAGTTCTCTTAGCCTCTCTGAGGGAGCTCGTCACCCACGTTCTCTTGGCTGGTTCGGGGCAAAAACGCTGCCAGTCTTTTCAATTCCAGGCACCAGCTGCCATTCCCCTTTGGGGGTTTGGGGGCTGGAGGAGGGTGCCCTCCTCTGATGGATGGAGAGGGTGGGCTCAGCCCAACCCCATCTCCCCCGCCTGAGCAGCCGGGTGAGCCACCCACAGTCCAGGAGGGCACTAACGAGGGTGGACAGGAGCCTCTGGCCCAAGGTCTGGGGGACCGGACTTACTCTGAAGTGTGTGGACGGGGCACTGGGGGGACCACGAGCTCATTGATATGCAGGTGGAGTGCATCAGACTTGAAAGTTGTGAAATGACCAGGACTTTCTTTTTCCTACCAGGAAAGTGGTAGGCTGCCCCCAACCCTTCTCTGCCCCAGAAGAGACCGCCCGCAGGAGTCCCTCACGGGGTCCGGGTCTCTAACCTGCCTGAGACAGACAGGTTGCAGGGACCTGCGGGGGAGGGGCAAACAAGATGTGTCTCCACAGAGGGGGTGGGAGGTGGGGGAGGGTATCCTGACCCTCCTCCCAGAGGACAGAAGACCCTGCCCCAAAGGGGAACCTCTCCACTCCCTCCAAAGACCTCCAACAAACCAAGACAGGCCTGTGGGCCTCAGAGTGGCCCCTCCTCCCTCCAGCTGGCCTGACCCAAGGGAGGGTTGGGGGGAGACCCCCAGTGAGTTTTCACTCAGAACAGCTGCAAGTCCATCGTGTGCCGGGCGGGGTGAGGGCGTGCTCCTAGAACCCGCCTTCCTCAGGGGCCCAGGGCTGCACCCACGGGCGGGCAGTCGGGGAGCTTCCCCAGCAGCGAGGCAGGCCCAGCTCCAGGGGAGGGTGGCACCACAGGAAGTGATTTAAGGGCCCACGTCACCGCCAGGCGGGGTCCAGAAATGGTTCACACAGGAGCACGCGGGACCCCAGCAGCCCCCCCCCCCCCGCCGCCGCCGGCTCCCCTGATGACATGCGGTGCGCAGACATGGGGGCGGGACAGGACGGCAGAGGCATGCGGCACTGACCTTGGAGACGGCTCCGGCTGTGGCTCCTTCCTTCAAACAGAAGCGACAAGATGTTAGCAGCCAGCCCACAGGCAGACTCCACATGGGACCCGCCGCCCACCCCGCCCCGCCAGGGGTCCACCCGTGCCCAGGGGCTGAGTGAGGGGGCGCAGAAATAGCCCGCCCCCTCAGGAGCACCCCGGAGGGCCCGAGGAGGCAGGTCCTGCAGGAAAAAGGGAATTCGGAAGGGGCCGCACAAAGTTTTGACCCCGGGGTCATTATCACTCTGTGTACCAACGTTCATTTTAATCAGAATCGCCAATATTAACAAAATCTCAGAAAAGAAGTGAGGGCCGGGAGAAGCTCCAGGGCGTCGACTTCAGGACCAGCCAGCAGGACACACAGCCGCCGCGCTCCTCCCCGGCTCTGACTCGATGGAACTTCTGTGTGGTCTTCTCACGCAGGGCTGACACGGCCGCAGCACAGGGCCTGTCCAGTCTCACAGAGGCTAGCTCTCGCAGGTCCACATTCAAGGTGATTCTGGCCGCCACCCGTTCTGTTTGGGTTGACAACTTCCACTGGTTTATAACATGCATTATAAACTGAGTAAAGGTCGGTGGCTTGGACTCTCCTTGGCTTCTGTCTGTGGCAGGAGGCTTGTCCTTGGACCCAGGGCCCACCCGGATAACCCAGGATGATCTCATCTCCAGACCCTTAACTACGTCTGCAAATCCCCATTTCCCAAATAAGGTCACACTCCAGGTTCCAGGGCGTGGACATATCTTTTGGGAGCCACCATTCAACCCCACGCAGACTGCCCCCAGCCCCCCCGAATTCATGGTCCGTTCAGAATACATTGACCCCATCCCAACACCCCACAAAGTTTCAACCCAGTACAGCATCAGCTCCACGTCCCAAACCTCACCCCCTCAGTCACCTGTCAGTGTGACTGTGACGCTGGGTACGAGCCATCCTGGGTGCAGGTCCTCTGCAGGGAGAGACCCCTGAAACTAGAGAACAGGTGGTCTGCTCCAAAAACGCAAGAGCAGGAACAATACACTTGGGGTAGACACCCCCAGCAAAAAGGGAGACGCTGCAGGGAGTATGGGGTCGCCAGGCGCCGAGTCTGAAATCGAACAGGACAAGTGCCACTCGGCCCCCGGGGCCTGCATGCCCGCTCCTCTGGCTCTGGTCCATCTTCCTTCTCCTTGAAGGGCTGCACGCGTTCGCAGCCGCGCGGCTCTGTCAGCCTGTTTCCTGCTGCAGAGTCCCAGCAGCCCGACACCCCTCCTTGCTTCCCCCCTCTGTCTCTTCCGGTCCAGGCTGGCAGTGTTTCTGCTGGTGCAAAACTCCAAGGACATCACGGACCTCCGGTGCACGTCACAGGGACAGAGGCCGCTCTCCAGCAGTCCCCACACCTCTCTCCTCATGATCCATCTCTAGTCCTGCTTCTGCCGAGGGCAGGTTGGGCCCACTGGTCACACACAGAAGCTCTCCCGCAAAAGCCATCCAGCCACGCCCATGGCCCCTGCGCCAGAGCATGCTTTCCCCACGGACAGCACAAGAACACCCCCAGGTCTTCAAGCGCCAGCTTCACTTTGCTCAGCAGGTCCTTCAATTCACGTCTTTCCTCCCACATTTTTCTGTAAGCGGCGAGGAGCCAGGCCGCAGCCTCCACACTGCGCTTGGAATCTCCCCGGACGAGTCCTGCTTCCCGCCCAACAAGAGAGCACGACCCAGCCGCGTGCTCTGCCACTTATGGCAGCGACCCCTGCCCCCGGCCCCCATGTCCCAGCCACACGTTCCGCGTTTCCCTCCGCCCTCAACAGGGGCAGCTTCACTGTCCATGTTTCCAGCCACACACTGTTCACAGCGAGATCCATGTCATGACGCGCTCCTCCCTCCTCCGAACTCTTGCCAAGTCGCCTTTAATTTGTCTGTTTCCACCAACCATTTCTTCCAGGCAATCGAGGCCTTTTCTGTCATGCTCTTCAAAATTCTTCCAAAACTGCCCTCTGCCCGTTACCCAATTCCAGAACCACGTCCACACTTCCAGGTGTTTGTCACACAGCACACACTCTGCAGCGCCAGAATCTGCAGCAAGCAGCCTGCCGGGGCCACCCTGACAAGCGCCACTTGGGGCTTTCACAGCAGAAATCTCTCTCCGGGCTCTGGAGGCCAGAGGCCAGGCTCCGGCTGTCGGCAGGGCCTCGCTCCGGAAGCTCTGGGACAGGATCCAGCTTTGTTTCAGCTCTCGGGGACACCAGGCGTCCTGGGCTTGTGCCGCGTCCCTCTGACCTCCGCCTCCGTCTGCGCCAGGCCGTCTTCCCTGCCTCCTTTAGGACACTGGGAGTCGGAGTGAGGGCCCACGCTAACCCAAAACGATCTCGTGTTGACATCACATCTGCAAAGGCTTCCTCCAAACGAGGCGGCGCTCGCAGGTTGCAGGGCCGCCAGCCCACCCGCCAGAGCTGCCCTGCCCGGCTGCGAGCTCTTCGGAGTGGGCAAACAGCTTGGGGGCAGCCCTCAGCTTGGGGGCCCGGGGGCACTCTCCTCTCCACTCTCCCGCAGGCAAGCCCTTCTCCGCACACCCAACTGTGCCCAAGAGTCACAGATTTGCGGTTACAGGAGCACCAGCCGCAGCCACCGCATGCATGTCCACCCAACTCCCCAGGGAGATGCAGGCTTGGACTCTTCCTCCCGCCTGGGGCCGGAGCACCAGCCACGAGCGGAGCCCCCCAGCCCCATGTTCAGCCCACTCTCTGTGCCCACCCCCAAGCCAGCCACCCTCCAGGGATGGGAGCCTAGACCCCGATATCACCAGGCGCTTGCTGGGAGCATCTTGCAACCGCCTGCCCCTCGCCGAGTTTTCGTGGCAGCAGGGACCTCTCGGGAGGACTGAGACCCCCCGAGCTCCAGCCGGAGCCCCTTGCTGACCTGAAGGTGAGTCCAGATTTACTCTTGAGGTTCCGCAGAAGCTCCAGCTGGTTGAGTGGAGGGATCAGTCTGTGGCAAGAGGAGAGGTGAGTGAGCGCCCGCCCGCCCGAGCCCCAGGGACACCTCACCCAGCCCTCTCCAGCATCCACCTCACACACGGAGGGGTGGTGTTACTGCCCGGAGGACATGGGGTGTGGCCTGTCACAGGCAGAAAGGGGGAGAATTCCATGGCAACATGTCTCCACCTCCAGGGCCCTGGGGCACTGTCTGCATTCTCTGGGTTGCACCTCTCCTGGGCACCTCAGCCCTGGAAGTGGGCAGTGACCAGCATGCAGAGCAGAGGGGCCGGAGTGGTGCCCAGGCCACCCACGGAGACCCCGGCGGTCTCCTCTTGGACCTGCTCCTCCCTCCCGCCTCTCCTCCCAGCAGCTCTGCTCGCAGCCTCACGTCCTTCTCTCCCTCTGAAGGCCAGGCCAGAGCCCACCAGCCTCGGACCATCACCACCGTCCCTTCATGCGACTCCTTCATCATCCTCCCACTCAAACACTTGATGGCTCCCCACGCCCCCAGAGCAGAAAGACCATTGAGTCCACTGCACTCACGGCCTGACAGTCTGCCCACTAGTCTCTGGCTTTGCTCTGTTCCTCTGCACTCCTCCTCTGTCCAGTTATGCCCCCCAGCCCCAGCGGTCAGAATGCCCTTCCCACTTCCCGGCCTGCCCTGTCACTGCCATCCCCATTGCCAGCAGGTGCAGCACCCCATGGCCGGCTCCATTCCCTGTGTGGCCCAGCAGAGCCAGGCCCGGGTGGGCAGTGCTCCAGAAACGCTGGTGGGAAGGGCGATCCTGTGAGCTCTCTCCCCTCCTCCAGGCTGTCCCCCGTCCTCATGGTCAAGACTAAGCAGAAGGCCTGGGCAGTCGGGTCAATTCACGCCATGGGCACAGCAGAGCCCCCAGGACGGGACACGGGTGCAGCGCTGGTCTCCCCACCACCCTCGACCACTCACCCACGGACCTGGAGCAGAGACCCTGACAGCCCTCACCGCTCGACCCACACACACAGGTCCAAGGTTAGGGACACACAGATAGGACGTCATGCCTCGGACACACAGCAGCAGGGGACAGACACAGAGGGCAGGGCCGCGGGCAGGGCTGTGCACGCACCACACGTGAGGGCTGTGCACACGCAGCCCCGGACACCTCCGGGGGGTGCCATGGAGGATGAGGGTGCAGCGTGCTGACAGGAGTGGGGGACACATCAGGGAGCATCTCCCAGGCCAAGGGGTGAGGTGGGGAGGGGGCGCCTCCACAGACGTTGGGGGGTCTGGGGTGGCTGGAGAGGATGGACCAAGGGACCACTGAGGTCTAGGAGGAGCCTGTTGGGGCCTGAAGCAGGGCCTGCCCTCCTGCCCAGCAGCCTGGAGCCCCAGAAGCCCAGGGTCAGCAGACAGGGATGGACGCCGCACCCATCACCCCTTCTCCTCTGAGTGAGGCCTCTGGGGTCTGAGGCCAGCAGTGAAAGGCAGGCCCTGGGCGGGGAGATGCTTGTGGGCACTCAGGTCCCTCCCACCGTGGGGCCCTTCACTGCCCGGCACGGTGCCCTCTCCCTTCTGGGAGTGGAAGGTTAACCTTCTAACATGGTCCCATGCTGGGCACCAGGGAAGGATGAGAGATGCTGGAGGGAGCCCTGGCTCTGTCTACACGGGGAGAAGGTGGCCCCTCGCTCTGCAGGGCTGTGAGTGATGTCACGTCTAGCATAGTGCCCCCCCAACTCTGCACGGAAGGCGAGGGCCTGTACAGGCACCTGGGCACTGGGCATGGGTGAAATTTCCTGCAGCAGCTCAGCGTCCCCCAATCTGGACAAACGACCCCGTCTCCCTCCTTGAGGCAGCAGCTAAAGGTACAGCAGGAGAGAGCCCCCGGTGCAGACACAGCAACCAGGGGCAGCATGGAAGGACCGCAGGCCCGCCCTCCTCCCAGGGCTTGTGTCTCCCTTCACTGCAGTGGGAAGACCTGGGGGGATGGATCCAGAGAGGGAGACCCCACCCGGGACCAGAGGTGAGCTGGCTGGGCAGAGGCCCCTGTGCAAAGCAGAACTGCCTGCAGGCACGGGGGCTGTGGCTGAGGGCGCCCCCGTCCCCACCCCCTCTGCCTGCGTGAGTGGGGCCCGTGGCGTGGGGCAGAAGACAGGGAGGGACCCCAGCTACTGAGACGAGGCAGAAGCAGCACGAGGAACAGGGACGACCTGGGCAGACGTCCAGCACAGGAAAGCAGCTGAGGGAGGTAGTGGAGAGGGAACCAGGGTGGGGAGGTGAGGGCACACGGGGGTCCAGCAGGGGCCACAGGGCCACAGGGCAGCCCGCCGCCGGCGTGGGACCACAGGCTAGGGCTCGGTGCGGGGGCGCTCGGTGGGGCGGCCGTGGGGTCCGGGCGGCCCCGTGACACTCCCAGACAGAACGGAACCACAGCACGCACTTCTGCCCATGCGTTCCTACCTGGAGGCCCCGTAGGTTTGAGTTTGCGAGCTTTCCAGTGTTTTCACACACACACAAAGGGAAAAGAACGGAAATTTAAAAAGAACGGGATAATAAAAAGCAAATGAAAAAAACCGTCAAGGAAAGTGGGGGAAACAACAGAACAGAGAGAATTAGCTGGAGGGTCAGCCTACCCACCAGGCACAGAGCCTGCCGGCAGCGGACGCCCCAGGCCTCTGGGGAAGCCGGGCCGCAGCCACCCCAGCCAGGTGTTCCAGACACGGGGGAGGGGATGCTGGCAGAGGGCACCCTCCTCCCAGGTGACAAACTCCTACCAAGGCAGGTGGCCGGTGGGGACGGCCTCCAGCCATCACTGACTGCAGGACGCTTGGGAGGACACTGCCCCAGCCCAGAAGCCCCACCCACCCTGGGGTGAGGGCTCCATGGGTGGAACCCCCTGGAGGCGAGCAAGGGACATCCTTGGGCTCAGAGCCCCCGGGCTCAGCTTCACTCCTGGGGAGGGTAGGGGGGAATGGACAAGCCAGCATAGCCCACCAGAGAGCATCAGGCCTGGGGACACTAGGAGGCCCCCAGCCTGTCTCACCTCAGATCTTTTTCTAGGCAAAGCCCAGAGCAGAAAATCCTGAGGGCAGCCACACTGTTGCCCCGGGCGGCCACCTGCCCTTGAAAACCAGGGCCTGGAAAGCCGCCTGCTGACAACATGGCCTCATGGGCCTCTTGGCACTGCCTTCACTGACTGCACCCCGGAGAGGGCCTCAGGCCCTTCCCTCCCACCTGAGGACACCGGGGGTGTCTGTGCTCCGTCCTGCTGGGGGTGCCTGGGACGCCAGAATAATGTGGGCCTCCTGCTCTTCACGCCTCACTATGGTCTGGGTCACACAGAGACCTGGTCCTTGGTGGAGAAGGGGGGCTGAGGTTGTCCTTTCCCACGGGGCGGCCCGGCCTTGACCTGGACGGGCCCTCTGGGGAGGGGCCATCTCTGGGATGCTCACAACACAAGCCCCGCCCCGAGGAAACCACGCTGAGGGGCAGATGGAGTGAAAAACAAAAGCCACAGCCATGAAACCAAGAACAGAATCAATGCTGGAAATAAATCACACACAGAGTCCCTTCCTGAAAGTGCAGACGCTTTAAAGGAAAAAAGAAACAAAAATGAATCAAAATAATAAACAACAACAAAAAATGGGGTTTAAGGACAAACAGAAAATGGAAACACAGCCCAGGCCCGGTGGCGGAGGAGCCCCGGGGGCACGGGTACCTGTACATGGGCACGGTGACCGTGCGCTCGTAGTACTGCCACGTCGAGTGCAGGTCCGTGCGCGAGAGGTTGGTGGCGTAGAACCTCCAGGCGGACTGCGGACGGAGGGACAGAGGGTCAGGCACCAGCGGTAAGGGGACGGCGACCACGCGGGCGGTCATCCCATCTCTCTACGGCCCTGCCCCACCACAGGGACCTCACTTCGCCCTCTTCAGCATGAGCACACACCATCAGCCCCCAAGCTGGTGGTTTGGAGGAGAGGGCGCAGGTCAGGCGCACAGTGAGTCTGCAGGGAGCCTCAGGGGTTTTTCCTGCCACTGTCTGTCCTACCTGAGGCTGGCGGTTAGACCCTGTCATGGTGGTCACCTTCCTGCCGGCCCCGGTCCCCGTGGAGACACTACACTGGGCCCTGTGGGACCTCAGGAGCTGGAGGGCAGGGGGCAGGGCGGGGGACGCATGCCTCCATCCTCCCTGGCCCAGTGGCCAGAGAGGAAATGAACCTGAGCACAGCGCAGGGTCTTGGGCCTGCCGTGTAGACTGTCCTCAGCCTGGCCTGGGCTTCTGTGCCCGACTTCTGCGCGAAGTAAAACACAGCTGACACACACTCACCCTTTTACCCATTCGGAAGCAAACAATTCAGTGGCCCTCAGTACACCTGCCCTGCTGTCGCCCATCAGTCCAGTCTCACATCTTCACACCTCAGAAGGAAGCACCTTCCAACCCTGCATCCACTGGGCAGTCACCACCCAGGCCCCGGGAGTCCGCATCAGCCTCCACGCGTTCCCGATTCTGGACATCTCCTGTCAGCGGAATCACATAACATGTGGCCTTTCGTGGCTGGCTTCTTTCACTTAGCGTGTCTTCAAGGCCCACCCGCGTGGTGGCAGGTCCCAGTACGTACTCTTTTTAGTGGCTTGAGAACGTTCTGTTGTATGCACGGACCACATTCTGTTTATCTATTCATCCACTGATGGACGTGTGGGTTATTTCCACCTTTTGGCGACTGCGAACAGCGCCGCTACAAACACCCGCGTAGAAGATTTTGGTTGAACACCTGTTTTCAGCTCTTTTGGGAGTCGGATTGCTGGGTTACGTGAGAATGTTTAACTTTTTGAGGAACCACTAAACCATCTTCTAGAGCGGCTGCACCGTTTCACATTCCCACCAGCAGTGTGTGAGGTCCAATTTCTCCACATCCTGACCCACACTTTTCTATTTTCTTAATTTTAGCCGTCCCAGCGGATGGGAAGTGTCTCGTTGTGACTTGGATTTGCACTTCCCCAATGATGACGGATGTCGAGCACCTTTTCATGCGCTTGTTGGCCACCTGTGTATCTTCTTTGGAGAAACACCTATTCACATTCTTTATCCATTTCTTACCTGGGTTGTCTTTTTGTTGCTGAGCTGTAGGAGTCATTTATATATTTCGGATATAGATCCCTTATCAGATATACAATTTGCAAATATTTTCTCTCTTTCTGTGGGTTTTCTATTCACTCTCTTTATAGCGTCCTTCGATGCACAGAAGTTTTTTATTTTAATAAAGTCCTATTTACGTATTTTTTTCTTTTGTTGCTTGTGCTTTTGGTGTCATAGCTAAGAAACCAAGGTCATGGAGATTTACACTTATGTTTTCTTCTAAGAGCTTTATAGTTTTAGCTGTTACATTTAGGTTTTAGACCTATTTTTAGTTTAGTGAAGTAAGGGTCAAACTTCATTCTTTTAAAAATGGGTATCCAGTAGTCCCAGCACTGTTTGTTGAAGAGACCATTCTAACCCCGTTGCATGTACACGGCACCCTAGTATTGACACTTGTTTTGAGGCCCAACAAATGGTCCATCCTGGAGAACGCTCCGTGGGCACTTGAGAGGGAAGTGCACTCTGCAATTGTTGGGTGAACCGTTCTCTGGACGTCTGCAGGCCTAGCCGGGTCACAGTGTTGTTCAAGTCCTCGCTCTCTTTGTGGTCTTTTGTCTGGCTTTTCTATCCATTCTTGAAAGTGGGATGTTGAAGTCTGCAGCCGTTATTGTAAAAATGTATATTTCATCCTTCCATTTTGTCCGTTTTTGCTTCATATATTTTTGGGGCTCTGTTGTTGGTGTATGCATGTTTATAATTATTACATATTCTGTATGGATTGACCCTTTTATCAATAAGTAATACCCTTCTTTTTCTTTTTAAAATTGACTTAAAGTTGATTATTGTCTGATATTAGTGCAGCCATCTCTCTTTAGGTTACTATTTGTACGGAATATTTTTTTCCCATTCTTTCACTTTCAACCTATTGTCTTTGGATCCAAAATGAATCTCTTATAGACAGTATACAGTCAGACAGTTTTTTTTTTAATTCATTCTTCTAATCTCTGCCTTTTACTTGGACAGTTTAATCCATTTACATTTAAAGTAATTGCTGACAAGGAAGGACATGCTTCTGTCCTTTTGCTTTTTGTTTTCTGTATGCCTTATGTCTTTTGTTTCTCAATTCCTCCATTATTGCCTTCTTCAGTGTTCATTTTTTCCAGTGTATCACTTCGATTTCCTTCTATTTTTCTTTTCTGCATATTTTTATGTTATTTTCTTAATGGTTACCCTGTAGATTATGACTAACATCTTAAACGTATAACAATCTAGTTTGAATTAATACAATTTAGCTTCAGTAGTATAAAAAAACTCTGCTCCCATACGGTCCGCCCCCTTCCTTATGTTGTTACTGTTACAAGTTACATCTTTATACATTGTGTGCCCAGAAATATAGATTTGTGACTATTACTTGATGCATTTGTCTTTTAAATCATATAAGGAAAAAAAGATGAGTTACAAACCAAAAAATTATAACACTGGCTTTCATGTTTACTGTGCAGTTGCCTTGCCGGTGCTCACACAGCCTGAGCTGCTGTCCACTGTCCTTCCGTTTCAGTCTGGAGGACTCCCTTGAGTGTTTCTTAGGGCAGGTCTGTGAGCCACGAACTGCCTCGGCTTTGGTGGCACGGGAAGGTCCATTCCTCCTTCACTGTTGAAGGACGGTTTTGCCAGATGGGGAATTCTTGGCTGACGGTGTTTTTCTTTCAGGATTCTAAGTGTGCCGTCCCGCTGCCCTCTGGCCTCCCTAGTTCCTGGTGGGAAGTCGACGCTCATCTTTACTGAGGCTCCTTGTACGTGGAGAGTCACTTCTCTTCTGCTACTCCGCAGGCTCTCTCTGTATCTTGGGTTTCGACGGTGCAGCTGCAGTGTCCTAGTTTGCATCCCTTGAGTTTATACTACTTGAATATACCGATTCATGCCTTTCACCACATTTGGGAAGTTTTGCCATTATTTCTTCAAATATTCCTTTTGTCCTTTTCTCCTTCTCTTCTTCTTCTTCCTCATAATTTTTGTTGAAAACTGGTTGTTTAGAATATTATAACGTGGAAGTCAGATTCCGTCCCCTCCCCAGGGTTTGTTGTTGTTGCTTGTTGTCGACTGTAGCTGTTTATTTAGTGACTTTTCTAAACTATTTCATGCTCTTTGTTGTGTGGTCACTCAAGTCTCTGCTCCATTAGCTCGGTGGTCAGCTACTGGTTTGACAGAGGTTTCCTTAAACCCAAAGAACTGAAGAGGACACAAACACGCCCAGCCTGCAGATCGGCCCTGTGTGGGGTACCCCTTCAACACCTGGTGCGGCCACTTACGACTCTGCATTAGCCTTCACTTCCTGCTGGACAGACCCCAGAGCTCAGCCTGAGGTAAAGCCTCAGGGTCTTCTCCGGTCACTCCTGAGCCTGCGTCCAGCCCTGGACATGTGTGTGGCCTCCTAGGCCCCCCCAGTATTGGGGGGCTCTTTCTCAAGCCCTAATTCCTCTGTGTCTCCTTTCCCAAACCTCTTTCTTCCCAGGCTTTCCAATCTGTCTGCCATCCCTGCCCCACTGGCTGCAGCGAGGGGACCCCCTTCAACTGCTTGTGACAGATACCACCTGGAGGCCGCTCCAGCCCTAAGGAGGTTTCCAGATGGGGACAAGAAAGGCAAGCCCCTGAGCTGATCCCTCTGAAGCCACCAGACAGGTCACAACAACAACCATAATTCTTTTGGAACAAGGTGCATTTGCCCTCTGACAGCGGCAGCTGCACTGGGAGTGTTGGCCGTCACCCCACAGCCGCCCCAAGCCAGGAGCAGGGTGGCCGGTAGGAAGTTGAAACGCCGCACTCTTACTGAAGCCCCCCGGCTGTTGCAGAACTCTGACCAGGCTCCGGAGTTCTAACCAAGGTGATCTGACAACTGTTTGCTTCACTGTTGCATTAGCGGAGGAACGAGGTTCTGGAGTTCCACGCCACCACCTTTAACAGGGACGTCCCTGTTCCCTAAACTTTCATCCAGATCCCTCGACCAGACGGCAGGGTCCTGGGAGGAAGGCTCTGGAGCTCCGGATCTTCATCTCAGCCCCAGGGGCTTCCGAACAGGCTCCCCACGCCTGCAGGGCCCAAATACTGCTCCTTGTCCCACCTCTGAAGTCTGGGGCCCAGCACTCAGCCCTGAGCCCCAGATCTGCACTAGGAGCCTCACCCGGTCCCACGGCATCACTATACCCTCTCCCGCACCTCTGCGTCCGGCCAGGACCTCACTCCTAGGCTTCAGGCCCCTGTCTGAGCCCACCCCCACCCTGGATTCACAGAGGGCACCTTGCACACCCCTGGGGACCTGGGCACACGGCTGGCCATGCCTCCCCCTGCTGCTGTCCAGAGCCCACGTTGGGGCCTCGAGTGAAGACATGCCTTCCCCTGGGCAGGGGCCTCATCTGGCAGGACCGTGTGCGAAGGCAGTGAGCGGGGTGCTGGCCCAGGCGCCTTGGCTCCCACAGGGATGCACACATCGGCCCTCAGATGCTTCCGGGGCAGGGAGGGTCTGGGCCCTCCTCCAGGGCTTCCCTGTCTGGCCTTTTCCTCTCTGGGAGCCAGGAATCACACCAGGTTGCGGACCACTTAGGAAGCAGCTATTCAGCTCTCCTGCTCCACCCTCGAACCCACGCAGCAGGACCGTGGGCTCACCATCAGCCTCCACAGGAGGGTCAAGACATGACCCTCTGACCAGCAATCCCACTGCAAAACACCGCCCCAGAACCACTCACCACACATGAACCGGGACTCCTGCAGCCCTGGGGACAAAGCAATGTCCTTCCACAGGGAAACCACGCAAGCCTCAACCTGAGCTGCTCCCGAGTCCCCACGGGGAAAGGGTCCAGGACACTCGTGGGAGAAGCTGGGTGGCTCTGCCGCCGTCCAGCGTAGCGAACATTTAAAGGACTAAAGCAGAGGTGCGACCGACCTCTGGGGTGGTGCGCAAGCTGCTGCTAAGGGTGACCTTCACAGAGGAGTGGCCGTGTGCTCGGGCCACGCTCTCCCCTGAGCCGTCCACCCTCTGAGCCACGGGGATGCGTGGTGACACATCGTCAGCGGTGGTGTGAGACTGGACAGTTCTCTTCCGCTTTGCACTCTTGCATTTAAGGAGCCGACTGAAGTTCTCACAGTGAAAGGTAAACACGTACAGATGTAAAAGCAGGCCACACCAGGGGCGAGACCCAGCATGGACAAAAGGAAGACGCGTGAGCGGCACAGCCGCATCCAGCCAGCAATAATGCCGGTCGGCTCCGAGGGCCTGGGGGTCCCAGGCTTCAGGAATGGCTGCAGGAACCTTGGGCCCCTCGGGCAGCCGGCCGCTGGGCCCGACCTTTGGGACAGCTCCGGAAGCAGTGCTGGTGCTGGAGGCCCGGACGGGCACCCACCTCAGTGGCATCTCTGAGCCCGGACCCCAACATGCAGGATGGCTGTGGCGGCACGCCCACCTCCCGGGAGCCGGAAGGGCAGGCTCGGGGGCACCCGCGGCAGCCAGGCAGCCAGGCCTGAGGCCCAGCTCCTCACTGCCTGTGCTGCACTGCCAACAGCCTCGGCGTCTAAAAGGGTTCTCAGCACACTGACTCCACGCCCCCACGCCCGACACGCTCCTGCAGAGGGACGAGGGCTGCGGTCCAGGCGTACACGGGGAGACGCCAGGCAGAGCTCTGCTAGGGACACGGTGGGACCAGGCCCCAAGTGGGGGCAGCCGGACTCACCTGGATCAGGCCCGCGGCTGGGTTCCGCCTCTTCTCAAAGTGCTTCTGCCGATGTTGCTCTTGGACCTTCAGGGCAAAGCCGGAGCCCAAGATGCCCTGCAAGTCATCGGGGTCAGAGGGCACCCGGGACCACAGCCCCAGCTCATCAGGGTCAGACCACGGCCCGGGGACCACGGCCCCCAGTTCACCAGGGTCAGACCACGTCCCGGGGACCACGGCCCCCAGTTCACCAGGGTCAGACCACGTCCCGGGGACCACGGCCCCCAGCTCATCAGGGTCAGACCACGGCCCGAGGACCACGGCCCCAGCTCATCAGGGTCAGACCACGGCCCGAGGACCACGGCCCCAGCTCATCAGGGTCAGACCACGGCCCGAGGACCACGGCCCCAGTTCATCAGGGTCAGACCATGGCCCGAGGACCACAGCCCCAGTTCATCAGGGTCAGACAACATTCTGGGGACCACAGCCCCCAGTTCACCAGGGTCAGACCACGTCCCGGGACCATGGCCCCCAGTTGACCAGGGTCAGACCACGTCCCGGGACCACGGCCCCTGCCCCCTCCTTGCCTTCCCACCTCCTCAGTCCCTAATCACCATGCGACAGGCTGGGGGAAAAACCAGGGTTTGGGGTAAAGGAAAGGACAGCTTGCAGAAGCGGGCAGTACTCACACTGAACACATCTGGGCCCAAAGATCACCCCTCCCCATGATCTGTCCACGTTGAAGCGAGTGCAGGGCCAGGACGAAGAGGCCACCTGGGAGAACAGCCTCTCTGCCACCACCCTGCCCTGCCCGCCGTGGGTGCATGACTAACAGAGCTCACATCACTTCTGCAGGAGACGGGCTCCTGGGTCCCTGGAGATCTGACAAGGGAGCCCTGTCACCACGCAGCATTTGCTCCTGGTCACAAGGGTCACAAGGACCCTACTGGCCAATCCATCAGTCTGGAGGGAGGTGACAGCAACCGACAGACGCCAGGTCAGAGGCCACAGCTCAGGCACTCTCGGCGTGCTCCAGTGGAGCCTTATGGAAGCAACCAGCTCCAGGCCAGAGCAGCCCGCCCGGCCTCAGGATTGTGTCTCCACGCACTCGAGCTGCCACCTCCGGCTCCTGGGGGCTGTGGACCCTGCAGGGCTTCCTGCTCCTGTCTCACATCCCTCTGAGTGGACCGGTGCCCCGGGAAGCCTGCCATCACTCAGGGAGCCCGAGATCCCGTCCCCACCAAAGGCCAGAGGGGCAGCAAGACTCACCGCAGGAAGAGCAAAGAAGGAGACACCAATGAGGGTGAACGTGGCCGCCAGGAGCCTCCCGTTCCAGGTCTGAGGGTACTTGTCCCCGTAGCCAATGGTGGTCAGGGTGATCTGCGGGACAGCGAGCCTGGTCACTCGGCCAGGCCTGGACGCTCCTCCTCAGCCCTCGGAGGGCTTACGCCAAGGGCCACCCGCACCTGTCAGGGCAGGCTGGACAGACACAGAGGCCACTTCCTCCCCCATGGGGTCCCGGCGAGGCCAGGGCAGCACTGCCATCCTTATTCCCTGTAACAACCAAACCAAAACTTCCCCCAATCTCTCCTTTTCTCCTACACGCCGGGGGGGTGGGGTCCTTTGAAGGCTCTGCTCCCATTTCCCATTCGGGAGGGCCAAGGAGGCCAGCAGGGCCACTTCACCCAGGACGGAGGCCACAGACTGACTCTGGGTCTGAGCTTGAGGCCGGCGAGACAGCCAGGAAGCTCAGAAAGAGCCTGGAGCCAGAGAGGGGACAGTGCCGAGAGGCACCACCAGGAACAGGGACGGGGCCCAGAGAAACGGGCCAGGGCCACGTGGGGGCCTTCAGAGGGTGACACGCGAGCAGAGGCCAGAAGAGGGGGAGGGGCCAGGCGGTCTTGAGGAGGTGACAGGAGGGGAGAGACGGGGAGGAAGGGGCCCCCAGGGGTGCGCGGGAGCGCGGGCTCCTCCTGCAACACGGAGGCCGGAGCACGCGAGCAGAGCAGCACCTGAATGGATGGGGCACTGGGTGATGAGAAGGGTGGCCGGCCCAGACGTGTCTGCAGGCAGCTCCCACAAGACCTGCCCACGGGGTCTGAATGCCTGCTGGGCGCAAGGGCATCTCACCGTCCACCCTGGCAGTCTGCTCCCCGGACTCTGGGAATCGTGCAGGGAGCCCACCTGAAGCCCACTGTGTAGTCTGAGGAAAGTCTGAATAAATTGGAATGTTCTGGAAAGGCTCCAGCAAGCTGGGCACAGGAAGCTTGGGGAAGGGCAGCCGGGAGCCAGGCGAGGCAGGAGAGATGCCCAGCCCTCACCGTTAAACCCCAGTCGACACTCCACCCCGTGCAGGATCATCTGTGCCACTGTTCCCAACACAACTAAACCTATTTAAGGACGTGAGACACTTAAGATCGCCGGTCCCTCCCCTGCCAGACGGTTGTGAGAAGGAGCAACAGGGGGGCCAGAGGGCGGTGGACCCATGATGACCGGGCCAGGGGCAGGGTCAGGGGCTCGGCAGGAGGGGTGGGACACGGGGGCACGGGCACTGTCCCCGCAGCCGAGTCCCTGTCCAGGGAGGAGCTGAGGGAAAGTCCACAGAGAGATGGACAGAGAGACTCCTCCCACCCAGCGGTCCCCACGCCGGCCCTGCTCTGTGCAAGGACCCCAGAGCTTGGCAGGGAGCAGAGGACTTTTGAAAAACTCCGTGTCCTCGGACAGATAGAAGAAATCGTATCCGTAAAACAAAGCGATCTTAAAAATGAAATTAAAATCAAAGACCAAGAAATAAGGTTGAGGAGTCTCTTGGGAGTTAGACAAAAAGATGAGAAAACTGAGAAAACCGAGAGGACAAATCCCAGGTCCATCCGTCTAATCAGAATCCCAGGTCATCCTGCACCGGGAGCCGCCCGCAGGACGGAAGGAGGGAGGGGTGACCCGAGAAACAGCCGTCTTTAACTGTCGGAACTGGACGACCTGCGGCCGCAGACTCAAAGCCCCTCAGAGCACCCGGCAGCCGGGCAGGGAGCAGAGGCTGCTGCTGAGGCCACGTCCCGGGAGAGCACCGGGGCCGAGTGTCAGAGGGAACAGCCACACGCCGAGAGCCGCGCCGCCCTCAGGGCCCCACGTCCAGGAGGGCGTGGAATTGGGACAATGTCAGACCTGCAGGTCTCAAAAATTTCTCCCTCGGAAAGCCAGCAGTGTCCTCCTCCAAAAGGAGGGCTGATCCAAGAGACGGGAAGCTGGGGGCCGGCATTCGGGGGGCCGGCTTGAGAGGGAGGTGCGCGGGAGAACTCCCCCAGCGCTGGTGACGGCCCCCGGAGGACACACCGGAGCAGGCTTGCAGTGCAGAAGAGAGGGGGCTCCCGCAGGATGCTGTCCAACAACGATGAGACGGGGAGGGGCTAAATCTCATCCTATCCCAGTAGAAAGCAAATAATCCACGTCCAGAGTTTAAACCGAGAAATGCTGGTGTGAGTGTGCATTTGGCAACACTGAGGTAAACCACACAGAAAAGCCACAAGAGTCGCCATGTCTGCCCCGGAGGGCGGGAGGGGGCACAGCGGCATTTTCATGTAACATTTAGGTACCATTCACGTGCTTAAATATGTGCAAGTGTTACTTTGATAAAATGCCTAAATAAAAAGTTAAATTCAATTTTAAAGATGCTGCAGCCCATGAAAAGTCTGGGGCGGGCCGGCCGCCTCACCAGCAGGGGCCCCGACTGTCTGGACCACAGGGCAGGCACCGCGGGCTCCAGTGCACCGCACTCTGTGCCCCCAGCCTCAGCCCCACCCCCGCCGTGCCCCAGGCTCCTGGGTGCCCTGCTTCCCGCGTGGTCGGACGGCAGGACACGGATTCTGGGCCTCCCCGCAATTAGTAAAATAATTACGAATAAATTGCATTCTGGCTCAAGTGCCGGGAAAAGCTACGCACTCCTTTCCCAGCAACTGGATTCGCACGCAGTATCTGCCCACAGCCACACGGCCAGCATTTGCAGAGGCAGGTCTGGGGCCCCATGAGACAATGGACTCTGCCCTCCCAGACCCACACGACCTCCACACGACCTCCACGCGACCCCGGGCCAAGTGCCTGCCAGGCTGAGCACTGGCCCCCAGCAAGAGGGGTGCTCCAGCCACCCACGGCATCCATGGAAAAGGGCAAAGAAGAGCTGGGCCAAGGCGCCTTCTGCCAGGCAGGAGCACGCTCCCCAGCCAGCCACCCCACACGGAGCAGGGGGGCCCATCAGAGGGTGGCCCGGCAGGATTTCTCAGAAAAGGCCTCCTGCCCTGGGTGAGAGGAGAGGGGCCCTTAGGGGGCCAGGTGAGCACGGGCCACCAAAGGAGGGCTCCAGACCTACCTTGGGTGGGGGCAGCCAGGAAGGAAAGCCCGGGGAAGCCAGGGGGTCCAGTCTCCCTTTTCAAAACTCTCCTGTCCCTCAGTGTGACGGGCAGGACTGCCCCCCTCCCCTCCAGCACAGGTGTCACACACACATGGTCAACGGGAAAGAAGATGGCTGGCCATGGTAGGGTGCAGGCTCCCTGGGGGCCTGGCTTCTCTGTTCCCAAACACAGGCCAGCACATCCCCCGCCACCATCCGGCCTGGACCACCACCTCCACACGGCACCGTGGTCATGAGTGGCCAGCAGGCGGCCCCAGAGAGAGCCGTTGAGTCTACTATTCAGGCTCTGAGGCTCAGGGGGCACGTCCTGGGGCAGGAGGAAGGCCCCCGAGGAAGGCCACAGCAGGCAAGCACATGCTCAGTGAAGGACAACGACCCCAGTGGCAGGGACTCACCAGGCCCCACCAGAGAGCATCGGCGTAGGTGTCAAAGTGGTCATTCTCGCCCTTCTCCGCCAAGTACACCAGGAACGAGGCCAGGATGAGGCAGAGGAAGCCGATGTACCAGGCGGTGACCAGCTCCTGGAAGGGAAGGCCAGCATCCAGCCCACTCTGCCGCAGGAGGACCGAGGGCCCTGCTGCCCAAGGAGGCCTGCCCCCAGGTCCAGGACACCCCTCCTGAGTGCACAGAGCCCCGGCAGCCCAGGCCAGCAGCTGCCCACTGTGCAGCCCGAGCTCAAGCTCGGGGCAGGCGGGCGGCGGGCGGTAGGCAGCAGGGGGCGGGGCAGGGCAGCTGGTCTCGAGCCCGGCCCTGGGTGGTCCCCGCACCTGTGCACCTCACACTTGGGAGGACGGTGGCTGAGGATGGCCAGCACGCCCCATCTGCTCAGGTTTGGGAGTGTCCCCAGGCAGCCCTCAGGCCCAAGAATCTTGGGACTTGAGTCCCTACCTTGACCTCCCTGAGGCTGGGGGAGACCCCCGGACTGGATGCCTTCCTTCGGGGGCAGCACCTCAGCACCTCAGAGGACCAACACTTGCCCCATCCTGCCAACCAAGCCCCGGCCTCAGGGCTCAGACAGGAAGGACAGTGGGGGGGGCGCCATTTGGGCCAATAAACCCACCCACGAGAGGGGTGGCCTCACGGTACAGCCTGGCAGGGTGGGGTCTGGACCTCGTGGCGGGGGGGGTCCCTGGAATATGGGGAGGGGCTCAGGACGGGATGCAGGACTGCAGCCTCCCCATGGTCAGCGGCCACCTCAAGCCGTAGCCCAAGCGGGCAGGTGACTCGGGGCGTATTGATCTGAGCACGCCCACCGACCACAGAGCGAGCCAGCTCCGGGGCGGGGGAGCAACAAGGACTGGGCCACGCAGAAAAGCTGTTCTGAAAAGAGACGAGGCCGTCACATCGTGGAGAGATGCCCAGAAGGAAGGGGGAGCTGGCTCCTGTCTGACCAGCCCTCCTGGGCTGCGTCCAGCCGGCCCGTCGCCCCTTCACCCCAGCGCTGGGCCTCAGGCCGTCCCCCGCCAGCTCACCTTGCTGTGGGCGTAGACCACGGAGCCCAGCGCTGGGCCTCAGGCCGTCCCCCGCCAGCTCACCTTGCTGTGGGCGTAGACCACGGAGCCCAGGAGCTTCCTTCACCCCAGCGCTGGGCCTCAGGCCGTCCCCCGCCAGCTCACCTTGCTGTGGGCGTAGACCACGGAGCCCAGGAGCTTCCTTCACCCCAGCGCTGGGCCTCAGGCCGTCCCCCGCCAGCTCACCTTGCTGTGGGCGTAGACCACGGAGCCCAGGAGCTTCCTTCACCCCAGCGCTGGGCCTCAGGCCGTCCCCCGCCAGCTCACCTTGCTGTGGGCGTAGACCACGGAGCCCAGGAGCTTCCTTCACCCCAGCGCTGGGCCTCAGGCCGTCCCCCGCCAGCTCACCTTGCTGTGGGCGTAGACCACGGAGCCCAGGAGCTTCCTTCACCCCAGCGCTGGGCCTCAGGCCGTCCCCCGCCAGCTCACCTTGCTGTGGGCGTAGACCACGGAGCCCAGGAGCTTCCTTCACCCCAGCGCTGGGCCTCAGGCCGTCCCCCGCCAGCTCACCTTGCTGTGGGCGTAGACCACGGAGCCCAGGAGCTTCCAGGTGCCGCCGCGCCGGTCCATGCGGATCATTCTCAGGATCTGCAGGAAGCGCAGGCTGCGGAGCGCCGACGTGGCGAAGACGTTGCCCTGGGAGCCGGCAGCCAGCACGGCGATGGAGGCGATGAGCACCATGATGTCTGCGGGACACAGCGGAGCTCGAGGCGGGGCCGGCCCCTCCGCGCCTCCATCTCTGGCTGCAGACGGGGGTGGGGGGCCCCCTGACCAGGGTTCCGGGAGGATGGATGGGTGGGCAGTGTGTGTGGCGCACCCGGCGTGGGGACAGACACTACTGTCACTCAGCCCTGCTCTGGGCGCAGGCTCCATTCAGCTTGTGTTCCCCACGGGCTCTGAGGCCAAGTGGACAGGTGGGAGGAAACTTCCCGAAAGAGTGGGTCCTGTGATCTCGCCCGGCCTCCCGGGCCAAAACGGATGCCTGCTCCTTCCCAGGGCCTGTGTCCATCGTGGCACGCCCCTCCGGCCCCCCCCCCCCACACACACCCCCCGAGCCTCACCGATCACACAGAAGGGCTTCCGGGCAAACTTGAGCCGCCCCCTCCAGCCGCGGTACCGGCAGCAGCAGCCCGCGGCCCAAATCCTAACGAAGTACTCGACGCCAAACACCACGATGGTCACGATTTCCTGCAGGGGAGGCCTGCATCTGAGCCAGCGCCCAGCCGGGGCAGGAGTGGGGACTGGCCTGGTGTTGGTGTGGGGGTCCCGTCCCGTCCTATGTGAGCTAGTGTTCGTGTGGGGATCCCATCCCGTCCTGTGTGAGTTGGTGTTGGTGTGGGGATCCCGACCTGTCCCATGTGAGCTGGTGTTGGTGTGGGGGTCCCGACCTGTCCCATGTGAGCTGGTGTTGGTGTGGGGGTCCCGACCTGTCCCATGTGAGCTGGTGTTGGTGTGGGGGTCCCGACCTGTCCCATGTGAGCTGGTGTTGGTGTGGGGGTCCCATACTGTCCTGTGTGACCTGGTGTTGGTGTGGGGGTCCCGTCCTGTGTGAGCTGGTGTTGGTGTGGGGGTCCCGACCTGTCCCGTGTGAGCTGGTGTTGGTGTGGGGGTCCCGTCCTGTGTGAGCTGGTGTTGGTGTGGGGGTCCCATCCTGTCCCGTGTGAGCTGGTGTTGGTGTGGGGGTCCCGTCCTGTGTGAGCTGGTGTTGGTGTGGGGGTCCCGACCTGTCCCGTGTGAGCTGGTGTTGGTGTGGGGGTCCCATCCTGTCCCGTGTGAGCTGGTGTTGGTGTGGGGGGTCCCATACTGTCCTGTGTGAGCTGGTGTTGGTGTGGGGGGTCCCATCCTGTCCTGTGTGAGCTGGTGCTGGTGTGGTGGGCACAGAAGGCAGAGCTGAGGGAGGATCCCAGGTAACTACAAGGAGGTGTGGGCTCCCCCAGGCCTGGGGCAGCCTCAGGACAGAGGTCAGGGTGGGCGAGGGGTGGGGCTCCCCAGGGGTACATTCTGGATTCGGGATCAGCCTCCTGGAGGGGCCACCCCTCCATTACCAACAGCAATACAGAAATTGCGCTGTGGTTGCCATGGCGCCCGCCTCTGCCACCACGGGGTTGCTGAGCTTCACAACCCTCGCCTGGCGCCCACATCTGCCGGGGACACCCCACACCTCCCCTCGGGCTCTAGAGAGAATGGGAGGTGGGAACAGGCATAGGGCATGGGGGCTGGGCCGCCAGGTGCTGTAACAACATGGGGGGGGGCCAGGCCCAGTGAGGGTGTTGGGGGAGGGGCACGTGGGGGCTGAGGATGCTGAACCGCCAGCAACGTCAGAAGGTGAGGCCGGAAGGGGCACCAGGCTAGAGCCGGACGATCAGGGCTGGTGGGTGCAAGGAGGAAGGGGGGGTCCCTGTGGGGGGCAGCCTGGCTCACAGGGGGCTGGGGCTGGGAGGGGGGCCAGGGGGCCATCCACCACATCCACCGCCTCCCCACCCCACCAGTGCACAGCGCTCACCAGGATGTAGAGCGCGCCCTCCGAGCTCTTCTCGTACTCTTTGATGGTGGAGAACACGGACAGCACGAGGCAGGAGAAGACCAGCAGGAACCTGGAGGACAGAGGAGAAGATGCAGGACACTGGGAGCCGGGCCCAGGGCTGCGTCTGCGGAAGCAGAGCCTCATGCCCTCCACCAGGGCAGAGCAGAGGGCACAGGCCGGCAGCCGCCCCCCAGGGCTCTGCGTGACGCCTGGGGCCGCCCAATGCCCTCCAGGACACCCACCCCCAATCTCGCCTGCCAGGCTCGTGCTTTGAGGAAGTGCCCCAAACTCTCAGAGTAAAGACGGTGCAGAGCCGGCCTCCTGGACGCTGCGAGAACAAGAAATGAGCCAACTCCAGGGAAGGTGACCAATGGACATTCTCTCCTTCTAGGTACAGAGGCAGAAACCTTCCCCTCTCCCACTCAGCATCGGCCCAGCACCTCACCCCCCGGACCTGCGTCTGCTGGCCACACTGTGCAGCTGCCCAGAGGGCCCCAGCAGTGCCCAGCTAATGGTAACTGGGAGCCACTGTGCAGCCAGCGTGGACGCTAAGGCCCCATCCGACCCACCAGCCAGAGGGTCGGGCCAAAGCAAACATGGTGGGGGTGGGGTCTCCAGAAGCAGAGCCCCTGATGGCTGAGGACAGGGGTCCGGGGCTCCTGAGAAGCATAAAGCACGTGGTGTGAGGAAGCTGGATGGGGCCCCACACCACGCCCCTCCTGTGTGTCATCACCGCCCTGGACACCCCATCGCCCCAGCTCCACCAGCCCCAGGAGTCGAGACCACCAGCCTCCCCATTGAGGGGGCTGAGACACATCAGGGCCAACGCTGCGTGGTCCGACCGGAGCCCGGCCTGTGCTGCAGCACAGGAGCCCAGGCTGCACCTAGAGCACCTGGCACCAGGGACTCCGAGCCTCGGCCGGACCCAGGGCAAGTCCAGCTGCCCGGCCCCATACACGCCGAAGAGGCCCAGAAACACGGCCACAAACACCCAGACCCTCCCCACGGGTGACCCGGCCCCTCCCAGGAGCGAGGCCCGTCTCCCAAGCTGCTCCCAGCTCCTGAGCAGAGGTGCTGACGGCAGATACAAAGGCGCACAGTGCCTGCTGGCACAGACAAAGTGCACGCACAGAAACGGTCACATTTCAAAACCACAATTAATTTCCTTTGCTCATTAGCCAATTTATTCAATTAACTGAGCCCTGGGGAAAAAAAAAGTCCAGATATCTCATATGCCTTGTATTCATAATTCCCTCCTGGGGTATTTTCTCCTGACTCAGTGGGGAAGAGCGTCTGCACACAGTGGGTCTGCAGGGACGGAGCTCCCGGAGACTCCAGGGTTGCGGGCAGGACCCTAGGGGCTTGGGCTGTGGGAGAGACTGAAACCATCACCCATCGCAGGGGGCACCCAGACCCAGCTTGGCTCAGCGGGTGATGCAGGGAGCCCAGGGGAGACACAGAATCCAGTGGGCTCCCCTGAGGAGGTGTCCACAGGGACCAGTCCTGCAAGGTGAAGAGCAGTTGGCAAGACAGCGGACAAGACAGGAGAAGGCAGAGCAAGTCGGGTGGCCCAGAGGGAGAGAGGATGGCTCGTCCCAGGACTGTAGAGGGCAAGTCTGAGCCGACCAGAGAACGGGTCATCCTCACGTTAGGGAGACTCTGAGTGCGCTGCACCCACGAAGGCCAGCTCCTCATGCAGTTTAAAAACTTCCTCTAAAGTAAAAAAGAGAAGGCCCAGGTCCCAAGGTGACCACCTCTAGCCCTGCTTCCTGAGGGCAGCTCTGCCCGGCATCTCGGAACATTCCGGAATGGCCTGGCCATGCTGTACGGATGTGCAGCCCTTCCCAGCAGGCAGCGACTGGACATCCATCCATGCCAGCAATTCAGGAGGAGACAAACCCACAGCCGGCCCCTGGGAACGTTCCCGCTCAGCGGGCAGAGGGGAGCAGACTCAAAGAAGCTGCCCTGGGTGCCAACCCTCCCCAGCAGCCTCACCTCAGAAAGTGCCAGCAACCGCGCCACGCTTGTTTTTGAAGTTTTGGGAAGAGAAGGCCACAGATGGCACCGGGAAGTGGGGGCGCAGGGGGGCAACAGGCCGGACACTGGAAAAGAGGCTCAGCACAGCCCCCAGGCAAGGAGGAAGACGAATGAGAGAGGGGTCACCGCGCGTGGCTCCCTGTCACGACCAGCGCAAGGACAGACTCACAGGTGAGAGGGCACCCACACGCCAGCCACACATACTCCAGGCCCAGGGACGGTGCCTGACACAGCAGGAGAGAGATGCCCCCAGACTGTGGCTAATTCCCTCCATGCCTCGGCCACTCCAACAGCTGGACACCAGAGCAGACACATCCACTCCTGGCCACTTCCTGTCTGCGGGCACCTCGGTGACCTGCGACCACCCTGCCCAGTGCACAGTGGCATCCCGGCCCCCCAAGACATCCGATGCTCATGTCCATCTCAGAGATGGGGAAACTGAGGCTCGGCAAGGCTGGTAGGGGCTCTGCTCTGGCCTCACAGCATCCTTGGCAACGGAGGACACTTCACTGGGGCCCAGACCCAGGGAGCCAGGGCAGGGGGCTAGCTCAGACCTGAGGTGCCACCCTCCCCCAGGACGACAGGGGATAATCCCCTGCAGCCCCACAGCCCATGGCGGGGTCACCGGCTACACTCATGCCGGGACCCTGGGCAGACCTGGAGCTTCCTGCAGTCGCTCGAGCACGTGAGTGTGGCAGGGGCTCCCACCTTCCTTCCTGCAGGCCTTCGTGCCTCAGTGGTCCCCAGCATCCTAGCTTCTGTCTCCTGAACAGACTCGGGTGCTGACAGCTGTGAACTAGAAGAAACCTCTCCTCCCCTTCGGGAGAGGCACTGGGGACATGTGCGTGGGGACCACCAGAGCACCACCGTGGGCCCTGTGCGGCGCCCTGAGCACTTAGAGTGCTGACTCCCCCAGGGCCCAAGGATGCGGGTGGCTCGTGAGGAGAAACTCAGCCTGGAAATCGTTGCTCCACTCGCCCGGGTCGGCTGGGTCTGCTTCCTCCCGAGAGGGGACACCTGAGGAGCTCCACCCGCCCCACAGGCCAGAGCCCTGTCCCTCAGCTGAAAGCCTCGGCTGAACGCCCAGCACCACCCCCGCCATGTCTCTCCAACACCAGGCCAAGGTCCCGGGGCCCTGAGGGCTGCTCTGGTGCCCCGCAGCCTGGGCACCATCCAGGCTGCAAGGAAAGAAAGGAGGAACGATGAAGGCACCTCTGCTGGAGGGGGTGGTTTTCCTGCAGCCCAGGGCTGATTATGATAATGAATTCAGCATCACACGCTTCCCCTGGTTACCAAGGAGATAAGATGCACCTCCAGCAGCTGGTCCCCAGCCCCAGATTCCAGGGCCAGGATGGGCTGAGGGGAAGGGACCTCAGCCAGCGTTCACCTGAACGTGGGGAAACAGGCCACCTGGAGAGTGAGCACCAGCCAGAACCACCCACGCCCCCAGCAGACACCAGGCTCCGAGCCTACCAGAGCACCCAGCTCACAAGTGTCCTTAGGGGGGTTGACCCCTCACACCAGGACCCACAGCAAACAGAGCGTCTTCAGCCAGCAGCAGGAGAGACAACAGCCAGATGTCAGGAGGGACTTCCGAGCCGCAGCTTGAGCTCCAAGCAGAAGCAGGACCCCTCTTTTGAAACAGGCAGAGGCACAGGAGGCTCTCAAGGGGACTCTGATGTACAGAGAGACAGGGCAGGGAGGGGGCCCAGGGCAGGCGGGAGGCGATGGGAGGGACCGAGGGTGGTGGAGGCACAGGCACTGGCCAGAGGAGCTCCCACTCAAGGGGTGACGACACCCCTCACGGTGGGCAGCCCACAGCCACACGGCGGGTCCCGGGATGCACGCGTGCCCCTGCAGGTGTGTGCATGGGTGTGCACCTGCCTGCTCCCCGCTCTTTGGAAGGGTGTTCCCACCTCCAAGGAGGGGCCCCTCTGCTTCGTCTCTCCCCCCGCACCCCTCCGCCATCTGACTGCAGGAATATTTCTTTTCTGGAGAAACATCGATGACGCTGCCGCCTCGTTCCCCACTTGTCTTTGCTGGTGGGGGGCTACAGGGAGGGCTCCAGGGCGCAGGCGGGGACAGAGCCCCACGCAGTCGATCAAGGCCCAGACTCCCTCGCTGCCTCCGAAGGCTGACTCAGGAGATGCCTGGGTTATTAATCCCGTTTTGCATATTTAATGAAATGAACATTGAACAAGCGAATGGCGGGGGCGGGGAAGGCAAGTCGTGCCCTCAGCGCCTCGCGTGCTCAGCCCCAGCCCCGCGGCTGCTCTCAGGGAGAGCAGGGAGGCGGGGGGAGCGTGTCTACCACGTGCCAGGTCCCCGACGACCCTCAAGGCAGGAAGATGCTCTCGCCCACTGTACAGATGGGAAGGCGGAGGCCCTGGCTGAGCACCCCCTTCCACGGAGGGGTCCCGGGCATCCCCCGCAGAAACCCCCTCTCCCGAGAGTAACATCCCTTGCAATAAGCCTGGGCCTCCCTGGGGGCCAGGGGGACCTGGGGGAGCCCAGCGGGGCCAGGGGTGGGTGAGCAGTCAGCGTGAGGCCAAAGCAGGTCCCTCTGGTCCAGACCCGCGCCAGGGCTCCCCCGGGAACCACCCACCCGCCTCGTCCATTAGGACTGCGCTGGCACTGCAGCCTGGAATTTAATTTCTCCCCTAATAAACTGCTCTGCCTCCAGCACCCACTGCCACTTCCAATGTCTGGGTGCGACGGAAAGGCCGGGCAGCTGACGGCGGCTCCAGGCGCAAACCAGACGTGAGAAATCCCTGCACCATCTGCCAGGGGCCAAGGGGGCAGGAGGAGGCTGCCCCCGTGGGACGGCTGCTCGCAGATCCCTCTCCTGAAGCCGAGCGGCCCACCCCCAGCGCCCCCTCGTCAGCCGGGCCCCTGGCTGAGCCCGCGCATCGGAGAATGACAGGTGCTCGGCAGCACCCCCTGAGGCGAGGGCCACAGGGTGAGGGCACTCAGGATGCACCTCGACAGCAAGTGCTCAGTGAAGGCCACAGCTCAGGCTGCCCCAGACCCCCA